CAGTTATTCATTGATATAATACCAATCTTATACTTCCAACTTAATTTGGGCTTTGTATAAATCCTCCAGTTTAATTTCAAAATGAGGTTGCTTACGTCACTTCCAGTTTTCATTTCTATTCACGACGCCCTTTTGGTTTTGTAGTTTTTCAATCGCTTTAGCTATAATAATTGGTAGGATACTTTTAATCAAGCATGCACAAGTAATACTAGCATCAAACAATAAGAAACTAAGAAATTTCTCAAGTATAACAAACACCCAAGGATATCTAAACCAAACACAATGAAAAAAAACCTACTTACCAAATGAATTGCCAACTCTCAAATGGCTGACCAGAATGGGACGTTAAATCTGATGCCTCGTTTAGAGAGAGTGCCACGCTCTCTGTACGTTCAAAACCCTTGCAACAACTCATGGAGGTGTCCGTTGGTGGACTGTTGCAAGGCCAAATATCTGTCCCTATCCAATATATCCTTATTTGAGATTGGCAGTCTGAATTTCCCCGACTTTATCCGGAACGATCTTTAGTGCAGGGCCTTCTTATTTTATGTAGGACAGCCTTTCTCGTTTTCGTGTTGCTCAATATATACTTTTCTGTGTAATATATATGCTGTGGACAGCTGTTTGTTTTAATGTTGTCCTTCACAACGATTGCGACTGTCCTTCTTAAAAATTACTTTGATTGCCTATTTGTTTACAACTTTTTCTGACATTTACAGTTTACAATATAAGTCTTTTGTGAAAAGGTCTAGCTATGTATGTTAACGTCAACCCTGTCTTTCTACAAAATGTAGGAACGCTTTTCTGGCACTCTGATTGCTACCCCTGAATTCAATTGGACTAGTTTTTTCTAATCTGAAACTATATATTTTTTTAAACCTTAATGAAATGTATATAAAGCATGCTCTGTATCAGTCTTATGACAATTCAAATCAAGTGTAAATGACATTATTTGTATCTTGTCAAAATGTTTTATTTCAACAAAAACTATTGGGTTTTCTGACCATGCACACTGGAGCTAAAATCTTGAAACCAGGTAAATGTCTACTTGTTATAATTGTCAACATCCTTTCATATAAGTCTAAGCGTTCAAATAATATGTAAGTGTTTATCATTGCAACTTAGACACAAAGTTTGACCAAGTTCATGTTTATCTACTCGGTAGTTAGAAGTTCAAAAACTGCGGAATATTAACTGATGATAATAAAAAAAAAGCAATAGTTTCCCTCATTTCTCCAACAGATATGGAGATCGAAGTTACTGTCATCATTTAAATACCTCAATACCTTAATTAGGAATATTGTGAGATAATCAGGGTAATCTTTTGTAATCATTCTTTATTTTTTGTAGGGTTTTGTAGATTGTTATTTGCCTTTCGTCATTTTGTTTAGGTTTTTTGCAATGATTATGTCGGTCTCTTTCTGACTTTTGAGTTTTGATGACCCCTTTGTCTAATTCAGCTCGTTTGTCTGTAATGTTTAAAATTAAGTTTTCATGATATAAGATTAACAATCATGCTTATTCAAATTTTGAGAAAAGACCTCTTGAAGTATTTTTATATCACATTTGTGTTATATTTTTACATTACTAATAAAGAATTGCTACCAACTGCGCTTCATGATGTATAAAACGATTCAAATAGAAAGACTGAAATGGGATCTACAAATTGGCTCTAATAATTGCCATCAAGTATATGTATTAATAAACAGCTTCAATTTGATTAAATAATACACTTGTTAAAAAAAAATCTTTAAAGAATTGAAAGTCTTTGTATGATGTGCCACGAACAAATTCTGGTGAGAACATTCTACATTCTAGTCTTAATAAACATGTGTTCAATTTGAATAAAAATGTACTGACATTACTGACTTTCATAATTTAATCAAATTACTGAGTTGTCAGTTAGCTAATAAAGACAAGAAACAGCACGTGCCTACCCATGTTTTAACAGTTGTGGAATCAGTATCTTGTAATAACAATATATTATCTACTATATTATATAAATATTTAGTGCATTATGATTCCTGTATAAACTGTTAGATGACCTAATTTTGATTAACCCCTATATAATATACTGCATTCAGTAATTATTTGATTGTTGGGCACTAAGTGTCTAACTACAAATATTTTATACACAAAGGTAGTCAGGACGAGTCATTGTTTATATAATATGATTATACTAGTACTTTGCTTCGTGCTAAACTGACACTCTGGTCGGATTTTAAACTGACTACCGTTCAAGTTTACGTTCGTATAGGGGCATACGACACTACTCGGGGTTCATTTATGGTTCAAAACAGACTAGAATGAGTTGGTCTCCTCAAATGCTTGGCAGGGAGAAGACAATACCTGAAAACTCATATAAAGTCATAACACTATGTGAGCTACTAATCTGACTTTGAACAAACTAGACAGATATTTCTCCTTAACACTTGGTAGGGAAGCAGATAATGCCAGAACACCTACGACTTGCTCTCGATTCCATAACACTGTCTCGTGACCAAAGATCAATAAGCATTTCCTTAAAAGAGGTGTGATGCTAAAAAGGAAGCAGATATAAAGTAACTATCGTCCTTGCAAAAGTTTTATAGATATTCGCATTTGTCTGTGCGACAATTCTGCCTTCTATCCTTGTTTGTGATTTAAAACCGAAAGCGACTTACCATCATCACCGTATTTTGTTAATCATGAGCAACACACACTGTACCTTAGCATGATAAAAAAAGGTTCACCCAAGATATATGGTAGACAAAGGTCCAACTATCGAATTATCTGGCCCATAAACTGCAAGGCTAACAAAAGGTTACTTATGGATGCAGCTAAGGACTTTGCATAAAAACATTGCTTTAGCGCGAATCAACTGAACCTTAAGTCTGTACTTTATCTAAGAAAAAAATCAACATTGGTCAGTCATTCAAGGAAAAGTTTTTTTTGAATGCCTTGCAAAAGAACATTCACATCAAATCTTGATGACACCTGCCAGTTGGACATGTACACCTTGCAGACCTTCCATACACCGAATATACTAGACCTATTGCTTATAGTATCTGAGATATGGACTTGACCACCAAAACTTAACCTTGTTCACTGATCCATGAAATGAGGTCGAGGTCAAGTGAAAACTGTCTGACGGGCATGAGGACCTTGCAAGGTACGCACATATCAAATATAGTTATCCTATTACTTATAATAAGAGAGAATTTAACAATACAAAAAATCTTAACTTTTTTTTCAAGTAGTCACTGAACCATGAAAATGAGGTCAAGGACATTGGACATGTGACTGACGGAAACTTCGTAACATGAGGCATCCATATACAAAGTATGAAGCATCCAGATCTTCCAACTTCTAAAGCTTTTAAGAAGTTAGCTAACGCCGCTGCCGCCGCCGCCGGATCACTATCCCTATGTCGAGCTTTCTGCGACAAAAGTCGCAGGCTCGACAAAAACTGCATTTTACCACTATGTTCTATTTTTAGCCATGGCGGCCATGTTTTTTGACGAAACAGAAAATAAAATATAAAGTTTATTCTAAATACCCTAAGGATCATTCAGCTTAAGTTTGGTTGGAATTGGATCGGTAGTTTCAGAGGAGATGTTTGAAGTAGTTTACACCGGACGGAAAACGAATAACGCCCAACGATGGATGCCATGTGATGGCAAAAGCTCACTTTTCCTTTGGTTGTTGCTTACCGTACAGTGGCAAATATTTCATGCATATTCAGGACGAGAACAAATTAACAATAAATACAATAGGTAGGATCTGTAATAGGGCTTCCGGGATTAAGGTCGGAGAAATTTAGACTGCCACGGGAAATGAGGGTATATTGGATAGGGACAGAAATTTGGCCTTGCAACAGGACGCCCCACTTTAGCAAGGGTTTTACTGCCGGTCGGAGGAAGACCAATGGTGACCATACTTCTATTCCCCAGTCACCCTTAGAAGATTTTTGAAAAAAGTAATAGACTTGCATGAAAAAATGTAAAAAATAATCGTTTCAAGAGCAATACCTCCTTAAGGGGTCAATTGACCATTTTTATCATTTGACTTATTTGTAGATCCTACTTAGCTGAACATGTTTGTCTTTTACACTTTCTCTCTATCTATTATAATATTACAGATAATAACCAAAAACAGTAAAATTTCATAAAAATATACTATTTTGGACAGTTACCCTACAATGGGTGGTCCAATTGGTCTGAAAATTTCATAGCAGATAGATTTTGACTTATTCATCACTTAAACAAGTGTCACTTTTGCTCTCAATGCTATAGTTTTTGAGATAAAAGCCAAAAACTTAATTTGATCCCTATGTTCTATTTTTAGCCGTGGTGGCCATGTTTGTAAATGGATCAAACCTTAGGATACAATTTATAAACCAGTTACCCTATAAAGAATATTTAGTTAAAGTCTAGAAGTATTAGGCCCAGTAGTTTCAGAGGAGAAGATTTTTAAATGTTAGCAAACACGATGAACAAATTGTGTAAAATTGTCTTTAAAAGGGCAATAACTTCTTTTTTGTAGATCTTACTTTGCTGAACATTTTTTCTGTTTACAGTTTATCTTTATCTTCAATAATATTCAAGATGATAACCAAAAACTGCAAAATTTCCTTGAAATTACCAATTTAGTGGCATCAACCCATCAAGGGGTTGTTCAGTTTGTCTGAAAATTTCAGGGCTGATAGACCTTGACCTTTTTAACATTTTTACCCTGTAAGATTTGCTCTAAATGCTTTAGTTTTTGAAATATAAGCCAAAAACTGCATTTGACCTCTATGTTCTATTTTTAGCCATGGCGGCCATGTTTGTTGATGGATCAAAACTTCGGAAACATTTTATAAACTAGACACCCTAAGGAACATTCAGTTAAAATTTGAAGGTATTTAACCCAGTAGTTTCAGAGGAGAAGATTCATGAAATAGTTTACGACAACGACAGACGACGACGGACGCCAATTGATGGCATAAGCTCACATTGCCCTTCCGGCCAGGTGAGCTAAAAATAGCTAAGAAGTTTTAAAGAAAACAATACAATAAACAATTTTGCAAATATCCTTTTAATGAAACTTGAAATGTCATTTAGCATGCTTCCAATTTGAACAAATATAGTATAATAACTAATAAAATGCTCCGCTGGGCGCAGCTTGATATGACCACAGAGGTCAAACCCTGAACAGTTGGGGCAAGTATGGACACAACATTCAAGCTTGATACAGCACTGAATTTGGATTGGGATTAAATATTTGACACAGCATAGCTTTCTGACACATAATAAATGTGTTCTAAGAACTTAAAATTTTTTAATTTACCTATTCAAACCATATCATTATCATTTGCTTTTATATATAAATCAGAAATAACCAATTTAAAATGGAAAATTTTAAAGAAAAAAAAAGGAAAAAAAAATCCCTCCCCCAAATTTTTTGAAACCCCTTATGATTCATCACCCCCAAACTCAATCCCAGCCTTCCCTTTGTGGTATGGTACCTTGTTGTACAATTTCAGAGAGATCCATACACTTGAACACAAGTTATTGTCTGGAAACTAGAAAAATGCTTGTTTTCAGGCCCCTTTTTGGCCCCAAATTCCTAAACGTTTCGGGGAATTATCCCCAAACTCAAACCCAGCTTTCCTTTGTGATATGGAACCTTGTAGTACAATTTCATAAAGATCCATACACTTACACACAAGTTATTGTCCTGAAACTAGAAAAATGCTTGTTTTTTGCCCCCTTTTTGGCCCCTAATTCCTAAAATTTTGAGCAATTACCCCCATCATCAATCCCAGCCTTCCCTTTGTGGTATGGTACCTTGCAGTACAATTTCAGAGAGATCCTGACACTTGAACACAAGTTATTGTCATGAAACTAGAATAATGCTTGTTTTTTGCCCCTTGTTTGGCCACTAATTCCTAAAATTTTGAGGCAATTACCCCCAAAATCAATCCAAGCATTCCCTTTGTGATATGGAACCTTGTGGTACAATGTCAGAGAGATCCATACACTAACACACAAGTTATGTCTGGAAGTTACAAAAATGCTTATTTTTGGCCCCTAATTCCTTTACTGTTAGTACCATAACCCCCAAAATCAATCCCAACCTTCTTTTTGTGGTATTGAACCTTATGGTAAGATTTCATAGAGATCCATTCACTTAAACTAAAATAAGAGTGCGAAAACCAATGTGTCTTATAACGAAGACGACGACAACGACGCCAACGTCATACCAATATACGATTTTGCAGTCATATTAAAATAACAAATCTGAATGTTTTTACAACTGAAAAGGAGCTGGTGAACATTAAACTAAACATTGTGAAAATAATATAAGATTTTACTCAACCAAACTTAAGATATCAAAAGGCCTGCTTGAGTGTACAGATAAACAGACAAACCATGACATAACAAAATACATTTGTCATTGAAAGGAATATTAAAATTAGATGAACACAAAACGACACAAAACAAAGTACAATACGGAATCAATAATTACACCTTGATTCAGATATGACCAAAAAATACCTTGTTTATTCCTGTTGCATAATGGAAAAAAATATGTATACTGTCAGATATACAATTTAAAAAAGTCTGTTTACATTTTCAGTTTCACACAAATAAAGATAGGACTATTTGAACATGACTATCTAAAGAGACAAACTTACAAAAACATTTGTTGATTCTTTACAAAAAGTGTTATATTGAATAAAACAGTCTGAAAAAAACAAAAAATAATTGTGTATTAGACTTATTTACAAATTCAAATGTAAGGTAGTTTTAAGGCAGTGGGTATTTGAGGTAATATTTTTTAAGAAGACAACACTTTTTGCATCCAGACAATAAAGCACTATGTAAGTCACATGAGTACTTTAAGCCAAAATATATCCACAAATCTGAAGGACTTACTTACTAATAGCTCTTTAACACACATGAGATATCAATCAAAATATGTTTACTTGATAACGCATGATTGGAACAACACTATGACACATTTATTTCAAAAAGATAATATGTACACCAACACATGAAAATTTCATTCACCTACTACAATACCTTTTTAGGTTGGTACATGTACCGGTACTATTTAGATAAGAAATCAGTATGACTAGCATGCTCACACAAAGCTTAATACAACATTTTTTTGTAGGCTCTGATTCATAGACCTTGAGAAAAATTTGACATACATTTAATGGGAGTGAAAGCCATATGGACAGAGATAAACTCAACTCCTTTAATTTGTAGTTGGCTGCAACTTTATTTAAGGGTGACAGTACAGAAGGTACAAAAATATGGAAATGAGGCAAAAATAAATATTTTGAAATGGGGCATCAAGGGAAAAATATGTCACAAATGAGAAACCCTGTAAATTGCAGAAAACATTCATGCATGTTTATACAGTAATTTTATATTGTGGACACAAATTTCTATAGAATTCAGAATACAGAAAGAGTAAAGATTTAATGACAAGGATAATGTAGTGTACCACTTGTCCAGGATATACAGACCTTGGATAGTGTAAACTTCCCAAAAAAACGTGTATGGTGTAATGGTGTATGGCATATGGTGCAATGGTAGAGGGTGTATGGTGCTATGGTGTATGGTGTAATGGTGTATGAGGAATGGTGTGATTGTGTAACGTGCGATCGGGAATGGTGTGAATGAATGGTGTACGACATTTCATTGGTTGAAACCGAAGTTCATTTTATTTTAATTTTTCGGATTGTAAACATAAACAATAATAATAATCTTATTGTTCTTTTTTCCCAGTTTAGCAAATTACTTTACTCGTTAGACTCTATCATGTCTATGTTATAGATATTATACACATATTAAAAAAATCTTTTTTTTTTCATATTCTTATTTACATGCATTAAACAATGGCTATAAAAATTACACACTTGTGATCACATGCAGTTATCATAAAAGAAAGGATTTTTTTTTTAAACTAGAAGGCGGATAAAAAGGTTAACCACGCATAGGAACAATATTTTTATATCATGGGTTATCAACATTATCTTTAACGTTGCTTCGTTCCCCATTTTTGACAGTATCTTTATAAATATTTCATCGTAATTCACCTTTGTTTGCCTTGAATTTACGATTCTGTTTTCCAAAAAAATGTTCAAAGGAAAATTGTAGTGTTATTGCACATAAGGTGTTGTATAATCATGAACAATCTCGTCAATTTCGTTAGATTTATCTTTACAATTTATAAATGGTATCTTGAACGTCCGAAAAAATATACTTATGTGAACAGAAATGAAATATTTGCCACTTGATATTTATCCACCAACAAAATCAACCAACCGACATAATATACAGTATACTTTTCCTAGAAGAGAACTTCTCATACTTTTCATTATAAAGTACAAATGAAATCTGTCTTGTCAGTCACAGTGTTGGATGATGTGGTGGAATAGTTTTATTATACAAACCATCCTGAACTATTGAGTTTAAATCATCATACCTCAGCAAGCACGACTAATTTATGCACAGACCAACCCATCACACAATAGCCCAAAAGGAATCTGTGATGTACCCATCCATATTCAGAAGTGGGAAATACAGATACTGATACTGACTTTAGTGACAGTATTATATAACGAATACAGAGATGAAATGCTGGCACTCTAAATTAAAGCGGACAATATTTCTGTCATATGTATTATATAAGCCATCCTAACATCAAAATATTATTGCATTATAATGCTGCTATATATATTTACATAATAAAGTGCAAATATGGTCAGTTTTGTTTAATGCTGTTGAATAATTTTGTTATAAGAGTCAGCCTGAGGTATTAAAATTACTGAAATTTTGTTGCCAGACAATATTTTGAAGAAAAAAAAAGAGGACAGGCTGGCTATCAAGATTGATGGGGACAAATTTTTGTTTGCATTGTATTGCAATGTTGCTGTCATTTGTATTATACAATCCATCCTGACATCAAGATATTGCTGATTTACTATGTGGCTATATAGATATACATAAAATTAAAAGTGGAAATATGGTCAGTTTTGGTTGATGCTTTAAAATAATTTTGTTTTACGAGTTAGCCTTAGGTATCAAAACTACTAAAATTTTCTTGCCAGACAATATTTTGAATAAAAAGCGGACATGCTGGCTATCTACATTGATTGGGACAAATTTTAATTGTCATTGTATTGCAATGTTGCGGTCATTTGTATTATACAATCCAACCTGACATCAAAATATGGCTGATTAACTATGCCACTATATAGATTTACATAATAAAGTGCAAATATGGTCAGTTTTGGTTGATGCTTTTAAAAAAGTTTTGTTATACGAGTCAGCCTGAGGTATAAAAACTACTGAAATTTTCTTGCGAGACAATATTTTGAATAAAAAGAGGACATATGCTGGCTATCTAGATTGATGGGGACAAATTTTTGTTGTCATTGTATTGCACTGTTGCTGTCATTTGTATTATACAATCCATCCTGACATCAAGATATTGCTGACTTACTATGTGGCTATATAGATATACATAATCAAGTGCAAAAATGGTCAATTTTTGTTAATGAGTTAAAATAATTTTGTTATACAAGTCAGCATGAGGTATCAAAACTACTGAAATTTTCTTGCGAGACAATATTTTGAATAAAAAGAGGACATGCTGGCTATCTAGATTGATGGGGACAAATATTTGTTGTCATTGTATTGCAATGTTGCTGTCATTTGTATTATACAATCCATCCTGACATCAAAATACTGCTGATTTACTATGCGGCTATATAGATTTACATAATAAAGTGCAAATATGGTCAGTTTTGGTTGATGCTTTAAAAAAGTTTTGTTATACGAGTCAGTCTGAGGTATCAAAACTACTGAAATTTTCTTGCGAGACAATATTTTGAATAAAAAGAGGACATGCTGGCTATCTAGATTGATCGGGATAATTGTTGTTGTCATTGTGTTGCAATGTTGCTGTCATTTGTATGATACAATCCATCTTGACATCAAAATATAGCTGATTTACTATGCGGCTATATAGATTTACATAATAAAGTGCAAATATGGTCAGTTTTGGTTGATGCGTTAAAATAATTTTGTTATACGAGTCAGCCTGAGGTATCAAAACTACTGAAATTTTCTTGCGAGACAATATTTTGTATAAAAAGAGGACATGCTGGCTATCTACATTGATGGGGACAATTTTTTGTTGTCATTGTGTTGCAATGTTGCTGTCATTTGTATTATACAATCCATCCTGACATAAAGATATTGCTTATTTACTATGTTGCTATATAGACATATATATATACATAATAAAGTGCAAAAATGGTCAATTTTTGTTGATGCGTTATAATAATTTTGTTATACTAGTCAGCCTGAGGTATCAAAACTACTGAAATTTTCTTGCGAGACAATATTTTGAATAAAAAGAGGACATGCTGGCTATCTAGATTGATGGGGACAAATTTTTGTTGTCATTGTATTGCACTGTTGCTGTCATTTGTATTATACAATCCATCCTGACATCAAGATATTGCTGACTTACTATGTGGCTATATAGATATACATAATAAAGTGCAAAAATGGTCAATTTTTGTTAATGAGTTAAAATAATTTTGTTATACAAGTCAGCATGAGGTATCAAAACTACTGAAATTTTCTTGCGAGACAATATTTTGAATAAAAAGAGGACATGCTGGCTATCTAGATTGATGGGGACAAATATTTGTTGTCATTGTATTGCAATGTTGCTGTCATTTGTATTATACCATCCATCCTGACATCAAAATACTGCTGATTTACTATGCGGCTATATAGATTTACATAATAAAGTGCAAATATGGTCAGTTTTGGTTGATGCTTTAAAAAAGTTTTGTTATACGAGTCAGTCTGAGGTATCAAAACTACTGAAATTTTCTTGCGAGACAATATTTTGAATAAAAAGAGGACATGCTGGCTATCTAGATTGATCGGGATAATTGTTGTTGTCATTGTGTTGCAATGTTGCTGTCATTTGTATGATACAATCCATCTTGACATCAAAATATAGCTGATTTACTATGCGGCTATATAGATTTACATAATAAAGTGCAAATATGGTCAGTTTTGGTTGATGCGTTAAAATAATTTTGTTATACGAGTCAGCCTGAGGTATCAAAACTACTGAAATTTTCTTGCGAGACAATATTTTGTATAAAAAGAGGACATGCTGGCTATCTACATTGATGGGGACAATTTTTTGTTGTCATTGTGTTGCAATGTTGCTGTCATTTGTATTATACAATCCATCCTGACATAAAGATATTGCTTATTTACTATGTTGCTCTATATAGACATATATATATACATAATAAAGTGCAAAAATGGTCAATTTTTGTTGATGCGTTATAATAATTTTGTTATACTAGTCAGCCTGAGGTATCAAAACTACTGAAATTTTGTTGCGAGACAATATTTTGAATAAGAGAGGACATGCTGGCAATCTAGATTGATGGGGACAAATTTTTGTTGTCATTGTGTTGCAATGTTGCTGTCATTTGTATAATGCAATCCATTCTGACATCAAAATATTGTTGATTTACTATGCGGCTATATAGATTTACATAATAAAGTTCAAATATGATCAGTTTTGGTTGATTCGTTAAAATTATTTTGTTATACAAGTCAGCCTGAGATATCAAAACTACTGAAATTTTGTTGTGAGACAATATTTTGAATAAAAAGAGGACATGCTGGTTATCTAGATTGATCGGGACAAATTTTTGTTGTCATTGTACATGTTGTATTGCAATATTGCTGTCATTTGTATTATACAATCCATCCTGACATCAAAATATTGCTGATTTACTAGTATCGGCTATATAGATTTACATAATAAAGTGAAAATATGGTCAGTTTTGGTTGATGCGTTAAAATATTTTTGTTATATGAGTCAGCCTGAGGTATCAAAATTACTGAAATTTTGTTGCGAGACAATATCTTTAATAAAAAGAGGACAAAAATATTTCCAAATATTTTAACCCTTTATAAATTAACAGATTGACACATTCCCCATTTCCATTCTCAATTTTATAATTAAGTGCAAATATGGTCAGTTTTTGTTGATGCGTTAAAATAATTTTGTTGTACATGTACCAGTCAGCCTGATTATCAAAACTACAGATAATATATATATGTTCCTGAGACAGTAAAAAAACATGTTATATTGGAGCCAGTCTGAGATGTGAAAACTACTGATTTTTTGTGATGATTCAATTATTTGAACAAAAAAAGGACATGCATACTTGCACTGTTGATTGGTGCAGAAAAAGAAATGTTATTAATATTACGCTGGCCATAAGCATGATTAACTGTACACAGAGCTCCAGATAAGAATTCAAAAATTGGGGTTTTTACCCACCATTTTTTTTTGTAATTGGGTGATAAAGTTTTTTAATTGCATTATCAATTCCAATTCACCCCTCTAGCAAATATCAAATTGGGTTTTTCACCACCAAGCTCCTTAATGTATTGGGTTTTTCATCAACACAATATTGAATATTTAGGCATGTTATAATCACATTATATCAACCCCAGATGTGTTTCCATCTTAAGTGTGTTTCTTTCTTTGTATATGTGCTTAGCTGTTTTATTTGGTTTATTCACTGACGAGCAATTGTACGTTTAATTTGTATCCCGTTTTAAACGTTCTGTCAGTTTTGTATTTTCTCAAAACTTATGTAAACTGCAGCTGGTGTCACTAGTTGGACAGTAACTGATTGCCTTTCTAGATCCCATATGATCACCCTACAGTTTATAGTTGGGGTAGGTGTTGCTAAGTGTTTAGATTTTTATGTAATGTATGTGAAATTTAGGTGCTGTAAGAAAGTTTTGCCAGTCCTTTCACCTATTTGCCAGATCTACTTTTTAATAAAAATAAAAAGTAGTTCCCAGATTTAAGATATACCCCAAAACCTTGAGATTTATAGGGTGGTTTAATGATGGAGACCACATTCAACTTAAATTTACAAATAATTCTGCAACATCAAGTAAATAAATGACAATGTTATACTGCACTTGCCAATAAGACAACTATCTTAAGCATCCAGAACAATTAGACCAAAACAAAGAAAGTGTCAAGCTGCATAATTTGACGTAAAAACGGATATGTGTATTCATTCATCAACTAAAATGAAAAAAATAATATATAAACTGTTTTTGTTTAATTCAATTTACATTAATCTGGGTTAAGTTGTCCCTTATCAGAACTTTTGGTTTCCGATGCTTTCCAACTACATATCATCAAGGAATTCCTTGATATCATGTCATAATTGCTTTGGCCTGTCACTTTTTCCAACTGATTTCGTTTTTGACGAAACCCCGTGTTTATCGTTCTATAGCAATGTTCTCGTTAAGGTACACAAACACGCCCGTGCGTTCAATGGACGCTTCCTAAAATCACTAGCTGAGTCTTGTTATCATCATAATTTTCCCTCAGCTATCAAAAAGAAGCCGAAAACATGCTTCTATTCAATATTTTTATCGGACATTTACTTTCGTTTTAATTCATTGTATGTTATGATAAATCCCGAGCAATTCGAAAAAAATATGATAGCATGTCACATGCTAATTGGATAAACGCCGAGAAGATCGAAATGTTTTCATAAACACGTGTACCTTTTGAGCAATGGAAAATTCCAACAGGGACCCATTACAGCTACTTGATGCAGGGCTCTATTTTAAGAACGAAAGGACATTTCCAATTAACAATATTATAAAAATAGATTTACGCGACGACTGTATTCAGATAAGGGTAAATAACGCAAACGATAGCGAATAAAAGCGTTAAGAACTCATGGTTTTGGCATATAATTGGGTTTTCCTTTGAATTAATTGGGTTATTGAACCCTGCAATGGGCAATTGCATTGGGTTTTTAATTATTTGTATTGCGTGATCACGCAAATACGCAGCTTATCTGGAGCTCTGCTGTACACCAATATTGCTTTCAATTATCATGATTATTTTATATGATCTAAGTACTATTCGTTTTTGGCATTGTTTGTCGATTTTATCTGAAAACCAAGTTTATAAGATTTACGCTACATTTTAAAACCAATAATAATAGAATTGTAACCAATATGGTTTATAATTTATAGATAGACAGATCGCGGATAAAATTTGCATTTCAAGCAAAGTTTTATGCGTACTTTATTTACAAATACATGAATATATATTTAATCTGTATTGTTTATATATAACCATCATAGGCATGACCACGGAGATTTTAATTTTATACATTAATTTACAATATTGTGATCAAAATTCGTTTTTTAAAACAAATAAATAATTTTGTAGTCGCACGCTTTCTTTGAAATTTAATTGCATTATGGGTAATTTCGGATCGTGTAGATAGAATGGGGAATGGTGTATGGTGTAATGTGTAAGGTGTATGGTGCAAAGGTGTAATGGTATGGTGTAATGGCACAAGGTGTATGGTGTAATGGTGTATGGTGAATGGTGTAAAGGTGTATGGTGTAAGTGGGAAGTTTACACCATCCAAGGACTGTACCAATTTTCTTGGATATCAACACTGATACATTTAAAAATGTTAATCAGTTAGGCCAATATCTGTAGTATAGGATTTTCTGACTATCATGTTTTTTACCAACTTTCTTTTCTTGGCAATGGATTATCATATATCATATAAATTCATTAAAAAAACCTGTCAAACAGAAATGAAAGATAACAACCCAAAATCTAACAAACCCTTTTTGGTATTTGAATATCACAAAATACAAGAACTTTTCTAAAATCACAATTATAATTCAAAGAACTTTATAAGATTAATGAACAAGGAAGCACATTATAAATTCCATAACAATTCCCCTACTATCCATCTAGGGATGTAATGAAGTCAGGGATAACATAACATAACATAAAATTGACTATCAACAAGATCATCTTATTAACATCTATTATGCCGTTATAAGAATTTGTAGATATTTCTTTAGCCTATGAGATCTTAATTAACATGTGAATAAAATTCAACAACATGGATTTAAGAGAAAAGATAGAAATATTGTCTATTAAGGTGGTACCAAACACCTTGACTAACATCAATTTGGCTCTCTTAACTTTCATAAAATTTTGACAAAATATTAACTTTGACACTTTGACAAAAATATAAAAAATTCAAACAACTTGAACCACACACTTTATTGGAAAAATTTCATTGGATATATAGCAGTTTGACAAACACTAATTTTGATCATTGAGAAGCTTAATATTTCTTTAACAATAGAATGTTATTAAATCGTTCAGCTGATTTTTACAGAGTTATCTCCTTGTAGTGTTATGTACCACCTTAATGTCAGAACATGTTGCAATATAGATTTATTGTACATCAACTTTCCTTAGTTTGACTCTGTTTACTACCTTCATCAACTACACAGTTCAACTCATTATTTGAATTCTTATTACTTGTTTTTCCATTGTAACTATTCAAACTTTTTGAACTTTTATCAGCATCACTATCGAGTCTCAGACTACCAAATTCACTGCTGAGACTTTCTGTTCGTTGACTTCGACTACTTGTGTCTGTTTCGCTACTTATACTATAGGTCCTTTGATAATCCATGTCACTGGTAATACTCTCAGTAGTTTGACTTTGTCTTTCCGTCTCGCTACCACTTTCTGTTCTTTGTTTATCCACACTACTGGAGCTGTCCTTTCTCTCTATTTTCTGTTTGTCTATGTAATACTTCAGTTTGTTCATGATATCTACCGGTGTAGAATTTGTCGTTGGAGAAGATGGTCCTGCACTGGAATTGCTAGAGGATGGCAAACTTGGTCCTACACCTGAAATTATAAATGAAAACAGTCTCTATAAAATCTCGATGCTTAACTGGATACACTAGAAATATCTTCAAGGTATAACTGATCATTGATATGAACCAGGGGATTGCATTTTAATTGTTTGCCACAATCAAATGACACAGTTAAACTGGTATGTGCATTAGTGATGGTATTGGCATGCTGTCAGAAATAAAAACTGTGTTTTGGTCCACATTGCCATGCTGTCAAGATACTAAAACTGCTTTTTGGTCCATGGGCCATGACAGGAAAAACTGTATTATACCTGTACAATACAAGACAGTACAAGACTATGTAGACTGTTTCATTTCCTCCAACTTGTTATATACTATTAATAAAATTGTCTGATTTATTCTCCCTATGTATTCTTTTATCTTCTAGATAAAATTAATATTAGCATGTAGATGATATCCACTTTTCCTATGGTTATTTGGTGAATATTTTAGTGTGGAGTTTCCCATGTAAAACTGAATATCTAAATCTAGGAAAGGACAGTTATTACCATTAACATTTTATTAATTTAAAGTAAGTTCCTTTGGGTAAATTTTGGCAGTATATTAGAAAATTCTTGATTATTTAACGAAAAAGTGTCATCAAGAAAATGGTAAGCATTGTTGAATTTATCAATTACTGTGGATTCATTTATTTTCGTGGGTACCAATTTTCGTGGATAAAGGAAAATATACATGTTCGTGGATATTTAATTTCGTGGTTTTGCCAAAGTTTGCATACAAGCCTATAAAAAATTTGGTATTCGTTGATCATTTAATTTTGTGGTTCACCTGTTCCCACGAAATCCACGAAGATTGGTATCCAACGAATAATAATGAATCCACAGTAAATGCAATTTAGACGGGTCTTTACTGAGTTTGTCATAAACTGTGATTTATAACAGTACAAGAACAAGCCTGCTATTGAAGGGGCACAATAAGTGCCCATAGGCATGCTTACAACCTGTCCATAAACTTTCTTGCCAATACATAAATATTATCAAGGAGAAAATTAACAGCTTCAATCATCTCATCACACCTCCAATAAGAATATCTAGCATATTTACGTTTCTCATTAGAGAAGAAGGCTTTAAATAAATTGCAGCAAATATATTTGCATTCAGATTTACCAAACTACCATTTAAATAAATAGGAAAACTTTTGTTTGATAAAATTGTGTGGAAGTGTAGTGTAAAGAGTTGAACAGTCAAAACTGTCAACAGAATCCCCTTTTTTATACTCATCTTCAAGCACATGTTTTCTCCTTCTGTATATGTTTCGTATTACTTCATTAATTTTACCTGATTGGACCTGGCTGAACCGGCTATGTTATTTAAGATAGATGATAATTTGATTTCTTAATCATCTAAAACATATACAATATATATATGGATAGCAAAAGAGAGGCGAATGATAACAAAGGGACATTCAAACTCATAAGTCAAAAATAAACTGACAAAGCCATGGCTAAAAAGAAATAGACCAACAAACAAACAACAGTACACAAAATGTGAGTAGTGATCAGCTGACTTAAATATAACATGCATTAACAACATCATGTGCATAGACATATTTAGACCTTGGTGGCCGAGTGGTCTAAGTAGTTCAACAACTGTACCACTAGCCTGTAAACACTGAGGGTTGTGAGTATGAACCTGGCACATGGCAGGTGCCTTTGACTCCAATCTTAATTGACTAGGATTGCCAGCTGAGTCCTCCGGCTTCCTCCATTAATAAAAATTGGCCATCATGGAAAAGCCAATAGTGCTGAAAGTGGTGTAAAAACACCAAATATTAATTATTTTAAATCAAACATATTTGAACATGCCCAATCAGATTAAAATAATAAAGTTGTACACATTGCTTACCTCTAAATGTCATTGATCCTCCAGGGGATTCAATTGGAGTAGGATTCATGAATTTCTTCGTTGTTGCTCGTCTCAGGAAATCTGACAACTGTGCCATTGTCAAATTATGATGTAGAGTCTCTAATGCCCTGATTGATGGCACCATGTTAAAACCTTCAAAAGCTGCAAATAAACAATAATTATTTGTTAAAGATACAAATATGTTTAGAAATACTGGTATAAGATTTTGAAGTATAATATAAAGAAGACTGAACTACAGTTGAAGTAAGGTATATCATGTATATGCAACAGACAGTCGAATTATATCTCACTGTACGGAAAGGTTACTGTTATAATTAGCATCAAAACTGAAAAGAAGGCGTCAAAGCAAAGAACAGGAAACCTTCTCTGAGAGTAAATAAGCTTAAATACAAAGAGGTAAGTTAATTTGGTATCTGTTTTAATCAAACAATCATTTCAAATTTATAAAACCTATCAAAATTTCAATATTGATGAGGCTCAAAATTATTTTTTTAAATATTACTTGACAGATTTAAAAAAATAAAAAAGCCAAACAATTAATATTGATGTTGAAGCAAGATTAGAAAAAAATTTGAAATTTTACATACTTTTATGGTGAGTGATAACTATTTTGTTGAACCTTTCTTTAAAATAAGCAAGAAAAGTTAAGTCAAGACATTGTACTTGCCTTACTTCTAGTATTTCAGCATTTCTTCAATGAATAAAACAAAGATGTATTTTTCTTTCATTTTTTTCTAAGGGCTGTTCCATAAAAACATACATGGGACCCAGGAAAGGCACTTCCAATCTCAACTACAGGTGGGTGTCATCTATGTTTTTGCATAGTGGAAATATAAGTGAAATTTTACTTTGCCTCTATAGGTGGTTACCCCATTTTTAAAGAGCCTTCCCTGGGTACCATGTATGTTTTAATGGAACAGACCTAATTCCTTTCATTACTGTTTACTAGTATGGGAAGATAATGCAGTATTGTGAGCTTTATGATACTTTGTTTCTTTTACAGCGTTTTGTTACTTTCTAGTAGGGGCCTTGGTGGCCGAGTGGTCTAAGTAGTCGAACTACTGTATCACCAGCCTGTCAACACTGAGGTTGTGAGTTTTGAATCCCGCACAGGGCAGGTGCACAACTCCAATCTTAACTAACTAGGATTGTCAGTTTTCCTTCTAAAGGTTTGGTTCTCTCAGGGCACTTCGGCTTCCTCCATCAATAAAAACTGACCGCCACGAAATAGCACAATAGTGTTGAAAGTGGTGTTAAACACCAATCAATCAATCAACCAATCAATACTTTCTAGTAAAACATAAACTGCAGATTCTCCCAGAGCACCTGAGTTCAGCTGTCTACTTAAACAAACCATGGATGACAGTGTCTTAAGAAATTTGTTTGCATAAATGGCCAATTTTCTCATTGTCCAGTGTGTGGTAATATTCCACTGTAAAAAATATATACAATTAGTTGCCTTAATGATAGAAAGACTGAAAGTACTTTTATACCTGTATAAGGTATAGTAAAATATTAATAGTGGCTAACTTTTAATCATGATGATATTCATAATGTCCCATTTATCGAGTTTTTAATCTCTGATTTTAGAGTATCCTAAAAGAGTTGCCAAACACACCTTAATGCTATAAAACTTGATATCCAATTGTTCAATAAACTGTTAACACAGAGATATGTCTCGCCTATTTGTTATTTTGATAATGCAAATGTTGAAATTAAAATAGCAATACTTTAACATGTAAGTTATGCAAATATTCAAAGTCAATGAACCATGACTGAAGGTACAGGGCTAAACAATCTTCATGGAAATGAAATGTGCCAATGCTAATACAACTGCATACCAAATACCATTGACTTTTCATAAGTCATTCCCTTTAAACAAACCTAAACACAAACATTAACTTGTAAACTAGGTAAAAGTTTCAAAGTCAATGAACCATAATTAAGGGGTGGGGTTATATAATCTCCATGGAAATGAAACTTGCAAATGCCAATACATTTGCATACCGAATATCATTGACTTAACATAAGTGGTTCATCTTAAACTGACCTAATCACAAACTAATACATGTAAACTAAGCAAAAGTTTCAAAGTCAATAGACCTTGATTGAGGGGTTGCCAAATAATCTCCATGGTAATGAGATGTGCAAATGTTAATACAACTGCATACCAAATATCATTGACCTACCACCAGTGGTTCACCATGAACTAGACCTAATCACAAACTAATACACTGTTGACGCCGCCGTCGACGCAGGAAACAGCATATCTATGTCTTGCTTTTTGACTCCGTCAAGGCAAGACAAAAACTAGCTTTGAAAAAAAATAAATATGAGGCTGTAATTAAAAAACTACTTTGGATATCTATAACATGGACTCATATATATGCATAATACATGAGAATTAAATTTAGGTCATGCTAACCTAACTGTTACTTAAGTTTTAAGTAAGTTTGAAGGTGATTATGAGACTTAAATACAAGCTTAAGAAAACAAGGTATTAATAATATCTATGGGTAGATAATAGGATAATTGTTTACTGTAAATTCAGAAATTGATGAATTCTTTTATTATTAGAACCACTGATACTGGTAAAAAAGCAAGATATAATTAATGCAATTCCAAAAATTTAGTGAAAGAAAATCAATCCTGAAATTATGAATGTGAGTTTTTATGATTGCAAACCGGATTCAACCCCATTTTTCACATTAAATAAAACATCACAATAATTTCTGAATTTCTAGTATCTCAATTCACATGTGTATGGTCAATAAAGAGAAAAATTATTTCTGCATTCATTTCCAGATTGTGTAGTTTCAGAAATATAACATTGGTCTAATGTACAACCTAATTCAATAATAAAATACAGAACATAGCAGCTATATATTATGACATAAAAAATATTTGTCAATGTTGTTAAACAGAGAATAAGAAAAACAACGTCCAGATCAAACAAGGATGAAGCAGGTACCTTTGAAAAAATCTAAAGTCAAACAGTATGCAAATTCTGAATGCATCGTCATAAATGTAGAGAACATTTGAAATATAAACAAAAGATATATTCAAACTAGGGAAAGGTTGCAAGGTTTTGACATGCAGGATAAAAATTGTTTTGTATTTTGTATTTAATGTATTAGTTCTTTATTTCTGCATTTCATTTAAAAAAAAAATTCTGTTTATGACTAGAGAAAGAAAAAACTGTCTGACAAATGATCACATATAATACCACGACAACTTAGTTTGTATTATGAGCCTTATACCTGTAGTTTATTCCAGTAATCAGTATCATATTTGTTTTACTTATTTCAACAAACAATATAATAAACACGTGCTAAAAACAAACATGCTTAACATTTGAAAATCAGAACTGCAAGGAGGGGAAACAGTGGGAACAAAAAAAAACAATAGTCAAAAATAATAATTTCATAAGGAATAGAACCTTATAAATGACTCTTTTCTGCCTATAATTTTATCGGTCAATCAAAAGTATTCATCAGTTTTTAAATTTGTGTCATTTTTTCAAATGTAAAATAATTGTAATGTTACATTTCCACAGTGCTGTAGCACCATGATATATTTAAGTATTAGTAATAAATATGTTATAATTGTTTATTCAGTACTAGTGATTCATACAACATTTTGTATACACATTTTTGTCCTTTCATTACTCAAAGTTTCAAAGCCAAATGGCATTTTTGAAATAAGTCTCATACAAAACTAAGATTTTTGACTGTGTGCAAATAAATTAGTTAAGCAGTAATGTATACTCACTAAGACAAAAAGCCATGCAGTGACACAAATTCCTGTAAAGACATTTAAAAACGGCAAAGCAAGCAAACTTACACACACAGCTTAAGAATGTGTTTCCCAAGAACCATGCAGATATCAAGGAAAATTTGTTTGGATCTATTGGAGTATGCATGATGATAATTGATTAGAGATTTTAGTCCACTTGTCAGGTTGACTTTTTTTATTGTATCCAGTGCAAAATAGTTCATGCCTATTGAGTATGAAGGAATTCTAACTCATCATTTCAAAAAGCAAGTTTCTAGATTATGGCTTTATATTGGATAGTGAAAAAAAATATATACTTTAGAAAAGATACTATGTATCCATAATTTATTGATATATTTGAGGTAAGCATTCTAACTCTAATTAGGGCTTCCTGAACATTAAAAGAAACTTTTTTGTTGCATAAAGAATCTAATAAAGTCAGCAAACTAAATGAAAAGCTAAATAAAAATTTGAAATTGGGAGTTTTGTGCCATTTTTCCAAATTTTCCCATAAAGTATAGTTATTCCCTTAGAAATTAAATTTATTTTTCATAAGAAATAATTTGAGACTGAGTTATTTCCCTTGACAGACAAGTTCCAGGCAATGTGTTTGATTACCTTTTTTGATAAACCAAATTTAACCCCAAGTTACAAGCAAGCTAAAGGTATATACAAGTCAGTGGTAAAGAATCTTACATGGCTTATAGGAATGAAAATTGCTCCGAAAACAACTTTTTCTAGTCTAATTGTTAGAATATATTACAAGTTGAATTTGTTTGATTTAAGAAAGAAACTTTTGCCAGTTGCCCTCAAATGCAAACTGATCTTGTGGCCTGTATAACAAGTTTAATTTACGAAGGAATGTGCGTACTTGGACCTCAAACATGCCAGTAAAGGGAAATAATTCTAACTCTATTAACTTAAATAGAATATTATCAATGACAACATTGTTAATTTTATTTGATATCTGCATGAATTCTTGGTGATATATACCAGGACTAGTGATAAACGAGGCAGACTTGGCTCGAATCATTTCTCTCACGGTCTTGTCTTCTAATCCTGCAGCAAAACAAGACAAAAAACATTTCAAGACTTAGTTCCCTTTCCCTATTCTTATTATCTCCCTTTCCAAATTCTAAAAAGTTATCTCCCTTATCCTATTTCAAAGAGTTATTTCCCTTTCCCTATTCTTATTATCTCCCTTTCCAAATTTCAAAAAAGTATCTCCCTTATCCTTTTCCAAAGAGTTATTTCCCTTTTTCTATTAACCAATTTAACAGATAAATGTCTGCTTTAGTTTTTCTTTCCGAGGTTTATTTTGTGATTTATGACAAATTTAACCTTTGTAAACCAACATATATTTGTGTGCAATTCAAATCACTAATTTCGCGATCAGAATTTTCAAGCACACAAATAATTTCTTCTGATAAAGACAAAGCTCTACTACAGTTCAGGTGAATTGTTATGTCAACCCCTTCATAGTGTCAGTTGGCAAAGAGCCAATATACTGGCCAAAATAGTGAAAATGTCAATTCTTTTCTTACACAATCAAAATTGTACATACAAAGCCTTGGAAAATCAAATGAAACTTTTGTAATCAATATTTTTACTAAATGAAATGTCAAAATTGAGTGTTGGGAAAGACAAAATCAACCTGAAATGTAGTTTATTGTCCAGAAGAATGAGTATTGATAAAAAAAAAACCTGTTATACAATCAATCTTGAGAAGTAAAAAACACACATAAACAATTAAAACATTAAAGTTTTAGAATTAATAAAAAAAAATATGTAAATTTGCAGATTAAAAGCACTGCTAACAAAGCCAAATTTTAGTGTTTTAACAGAATTAATGTGGATTCATTATTTGTATGGGTACTTTTTTGTGGATTGTTAAATAATTGTATTTTCGTGGATTCTTTATACAGTTGTTTTAACAAATTCTGTTCCCAGGGTATAACATTTCCATATAAAGTGAACCATTAAATTATTTGGCATATATTTTAACAAGGTCACTTCATAATGAACATGTGAACACATTTCATAGTAAGCCTCTTTAAACTAAAACTTTAACTTGATTGGTGAACTGCAAAATCTGCGTCAAAACCCTTATTTGACATATTTAAACAAAAAAATCAAACCACAATATAACATGTGTTTGAAGTTTCAGATTGATGTGAACGGAACTTCATGGTCAACTTCTTTAAAACAATACCTTAATCTGATATTGGACAGACCAGTCTTATAGACAGACACAAAGAATGGACAATATAATGCCACGTTAAAATAAAAAGACGGAGCTATAAAAAAATATTTTGAGAGACCTGATTCTGAAGAAATCAACATGCAAAGGCAATATTTAAAGTTAACAAAATTACAAGAGTAGGTTCCATAAGGCCACATATGAACCTCATTTCTAGCAAAAATTTCAAACACCTACTCAAATAATCCAGTGCTTTAAACATTTAAAAAAAGAAAGTGTAAGCTATCATTTCAATATTATTGAAAAAAATCTAATATAATGTGTAAAAAGCATGTGCTTTTTGAAAGAATTGCATTTATTGAAGTTACAGAACTTTAAAAGCCTTTTGATACCTCTTGAGTGCCATAAAAAAATTACTACTTATTGTGAACCAAATGAAACATTTCCACCAAGTCATCTCCTCTTGGTCAAGGTATTTAAACTTTTGTAAGTTCTATTGTCCACAAACTGTATGTACTTATGATAATCCTTCTGTCTTTTGAAGCAAGAAAAACAAATCTGTGTAAGCTTAAGCAAATCACAAATTAGAAGTTTGTTTAACGAATCAAAATATCACAATTAAATGAGTTTAAAATCAAAACCTTTTTTTAATTTTAGAAAACTTAAAGCTTCATAGAAACAGCAGAAAAAAAATCAAACAATTCCCTTCACCCTACTAACTATCTTTATATAGCAGACACTACATAATAACACATATCTCACCTTTAAATGCTTCTGGGTTGAGATAAAAAAGACTAGAAAATGAGTGACGGTGTTTATCTGTTGCTATAGGTAGATGTACAGTGAGGTATTGTCTTTCAACAAAGTAATCTGTAATAGAAAATGAGTGACGATGTTTATCTGTGGCCGTTGGTAGATGCACAGTGAGGTATTGTCTATCCACAAAATAATCTGCAAGGAAAATCATTGATTATGCAGTCATAGTGACAAGAATGTTCATATACTGCTGATTCATTTATTTTCGTGGGTATCAATTTTCGTGGATTGAGGAACACTTGCATTTTCGTGGATATTTGATTTCGTGGTTTTGCCAATCTCTGCATACAAAGCCAAATTAACATTTGTAATTCGTTGAACATTTGAATTCGTGGTTCACCTGTACCCACGAAACCCACGAAAATTGGTATCCAACGAATAATAATGAATCCACAGTAAATAATTATATATAATTGTACCATACATCATACATTAGTTATTTTTAGCTTAAAACTATATGTACTACAGGCAAACCTCACAAAATGATACCCTCCTACCTAAAGATTGAAAAGTCCGTGATTAGCTAAGATAAAACACAAAAATAATTCGACCTATACAATAAAAATAGGAGATGCACAATGGCATCATCTAGTTTAGATACTAATAAAAGAGAGGCGAAAGATATCAAAGTGACATTCAAAATCATAAATCGAAAATAGAATGACAAAGCCGTGGCTAACAAAGAAAAAGACCAACAGACAAACAAAAGTACACAAAACACAACATAGAAAACTAAAGACTGAGCAACTGGAACCCCACCGAAAACAAACAGACTGAGCAACACGAACCCCACAAAATAAAAAAACAAAAACATTTTCATTAAACTATGTTCAGGGGTTTATGAGGGTTGACACAGTATTGATTGTACAACAGTATTAACTCCAATTGTTCCGATTCACTTTCTATTCATTTCAGTAAACCAATACAACTTCTTAATAATGGAAGTAATTGGTTTTTTTTGTGTAAAAAAATTTGTTGTTATCTCATTGATTTTTATATACACATGGATATCAGCTGTTATTCCTTTTACATCAAAGATAGTTTACCGAGTTTAATTCAAGACTTATATAAATTCATATCATGTTTTAAAAACAACAAATTGTTCCCAAGTAGTCAGAAGTCCAGGGCTTTTGATATATTTGTGAAAGCACTTGTCCCAGGGCAAGTAAACTGTAAATCATACCTACCCAAAGAAAAATTAACTTGCCCTGAATTTCCCAATAAATTGAATAAAGTATTAACTGTAAATTTGTACGATTCTTAAAACTGTTTTGCAATTAAATGGTATTCCCGATCTTTGTTTATGAGATAATGAATAAGTAAGTTAGCCTAGATAAATCACAAAACCAATGAACTGTGCAATTCTCTTTTCCCTTTTCTTTTATAGTCTTTTTTCTGCCTATGTTTTAATTTTCTTAGACTCCTCAACATTTTCAATCATAGCCTTTGTAGGAAATCACTAGGACGATATATCGACCTGACAAAACTATATCACTTGAGGACTACAAACTAGGCTACAAATGTTATATCATTATTGACAATACGCTGGAAATAGAGCAGAAATTCATTTGATTGGCTGTTACAATTGCATCACAAAGTATTGACCTTTTTCGATTTCTATTTTTAGATATTTTAAAAATACAGTTGAACATGTGACTCTTTTTGAATGATTCAAAGTTGTTAGAATAAACATACAGATTTATTACATGGCCTTTTCCACATCAGGCCTGGTATCATCACGAAACTTCCATATCAGCATGAGAGTTTAGTCGAGAGGTGATATTGGTCAAGGGATGATACAAAGGCTAATATGGAAAAGAACATGTGTTAATCTTTTATCATATACTTCCGATGTACGAACGCACCCACGGATTATCAGCCTGGGTGTGAATTCAAGGCTTGTTTACTTGGGCTCGTAATTATACATATGAAATAACTATCATATCAATGCTAAGTATATGAAAAAAAAAATAATACATTATAATATCAATACCTGTCCTTGGATCTTTGGGATTCTTATCTTCTAAACTACGACTTCTTTTTTCTTCTAGACTCTGGGATTTTATGGATTCTGGAAAAAGTAAATAAAAAAACATATTTTCAATACAATTTTTTCTTATTTAAAGTTAAAATACTTTAAAATTGAAAGGTACATATTAAAAACGATTTTAGTTCTTTAAAATACAAATATTATTACATCACTTGAAACAAAACTTCATGATTAAACATAGATAATGTACCTTTTTAATTATCATATTAATCGTGTTTATAACTAATAACTATAATAGCTACACAAACATATTTCTTAAATTTTAAATCATGTAGACATCTGTGTTAATGAAAGTTCACAAGCTTGCTGCATGAAAACCATTATACCATACAACCATCATTGTTCAAGACATATATCTGAAGATTACATTCCAGATCATGTGATTCCTGTTAAATAGGTCAGATAGCTATTTAATATGCTCTTATAAAGTGTAACATCCAATCATATTAATGAACCATTTCATAATTTACTCTATATATTATTCATCCATCACAATAATAATTTTGTATTTTAGTACATGTACTTTTGTTAGCAACAAATTTTAGTATTTTTAATTAGTATTTTTGGCAAAAAGCTTGAAGCATTTGTTACAACCATTTCCTTCATGCAAGCTAGATTATCATTGAAATGTTGTTCTACATATAGCACTATGCATTTTATTAGATTTCTGGTCCACAGCTCTTTAAATACACAGTTTAACAATTGAACATAACATGCAACTACATAAGGAGTAAGGCCACTCTTAAGAAATTATTTGTCTGATGTTGCCTACCCATGACTTCTAGGGTTTGGTAGGAAGGAAGGGATTTTATTGTTTTTGATGCCAACAGCATAAATAACATGTTTTAGACAAGAAAACAAAGTTAGAGCAGGAAAAAAACTTTAAAAAAAAAATTGAAACGATTTGTGTCATAAAATTTTTCAGGTAGGCTGCTTTTTAATGTGGGTAGGTAGGCAACATCAAAAAGTTTAAATCTTATTTCTGGCCTAACATATATATTTTGGTCCACACAGCTGAAAAATCTACATACATATTCATATAATTGAAATTCAACATGCTACCAAGGAGTATCATATATTCTACTTAGCCTTTGCATACACATAAGAAGATAAGTAAAAAAGAACATACCAAAATATTCAGATATTTCTGAGGCTGGTAATGAGGAATGATATAAAATAATTCAGGATAAACTCTCTGCTATCATTATATACACAAAGTTTACATTCAATTGAAGCTTACGACAGCTTAAAGAAGAGTAAACAGGCTGAAATGTCTTGCCTGCTTTACTGATCATAATTGAATATATTTTGAAAGTCTTTTCAGATAAATGTTTAACACAAGTATCATATAAACTAAACATTATCAATGATCCATGAAAATGTGGTCAAGGTCAGATGAACCCAGCCAGACAGACATGTACGCCATACAATCATTCCTTACATCAAATATAGTTGACCTATTGCTTATAGTATGTGTGAAATAGACCCAACCATAACTACTTAACATTGATCAATGAACCACAAACATAACATAATCAATGATCCACGTAAATGAGGTCAAAGTCAGGTATACCCTACGTACTAGACATACATGTACACCTTACATAATTCCATATGCCAAACATATTACTTCTAGTATCCGAGAAACAGACCTAACCACAAAAACTAAACATAACCAATTAAGTAAACCATGAAAATAAGGTCAAAATACAATGTACTGCCAGACAGACATGTATACCCTGCAATCATTCCATACATCAAAATTAATTGACCTATTGTTAATGGCATATGTCTGACCATGAAACACTCGTCATTTTTCACTGATCTACTGGATAGGCAATTAAGAATCCCTATGTCTGGCATTTTGCAACTTGTTTGCAAGCAAGCATAAATATTGTTTGATGAAACGTGATGAGTGAAATTATGTTTGTGTACTAAAATATAAGGAGAAAGGATACGCTGATTAGGAGCAAAGTGATTCATGTCAGTAAACAGCCTGTGTACAGCCATACAAAAAACATTTATAAATGTATATGCAATAAATAAAATTAATTGAAATAATCACATTATAGACATAAAAGAAGCCACAATATTACAGCTAATATACTTGAGTGCGTTCAAGGCACTTAAGGTTGCTAATTTATTAATAAATAGTTATTTGTTTTTGTAGTGATTAAGATTATAGCACAATTTTGACTGCTGTATCTAAAATTTTTGACATTTTTACCTATTATGTCTGTTTGTTTTGCTCACACATTGTTGTCAATAATGAAATTCTATATGACTGTCATGCAAGTGAGAGGTGTAGCTAGCTATAAAATCAGGTTTAATCCACCATTTTCTACATAAGGAAATGCCTGTACCAAGTAAGGAATATGATAGTTGTTTTTCATTGTTTGATATGTTTGAGCTTTTGATTTTGCCACTTTATAAATGACTTCCCTATGATTTCGGTATTTTTGCTATTTTACTTTTTATTTGGTGGTCCATGTCGGGGATGATGGATTGGTGTTTGATGTCAATGGGGCTTATCTAAGATGCATACCAATTTACAATAATATGTTAATATGATAAGGATATGAAGCCTGCTTTGTACATGTTGTACTAGACTGCTAGGCTGAGTTGGATTGTTAACCTGGTGACAGTCAGCAGGAAGACATGTCACCATACCCAGAGATTTATTCTGACAGTCAGCAGAAAGGCATGTCACCCTACCCAGAGATTTATTCTGACAATCAGCAGAAAGGCATGTCACCCTATCCAGAGATTTATTCTGACTCTCAGCAGACCATTTTTTACTCTTACTCTTAAATGATGGGTACTTTTTAAACACTGTGATTTAGATGGAGAGTTGTCTCATTGGCACTCATACACTTATAGAACTAAAATGTTTGCCGCAAATTTGCAGCAGACTTGCTGCAAGTTTGCAGGAAAACAGAAAATAGTGTTTGCAGATGTTTGCCGCTAGCTGCAAACTTCCCGCAAACATTGCAGCTTTTTGCTGCAAGCTTGCGTCAAGTTTGCAGAAACATCAATGTTTGCAGTAAGATTGCAAGAAAGTTAAGATAATATAGAATGTTTGCTGCAAGATTGCAGAAATCTTTGACCATTCCATATGTTTGCCGCAAGTTTGCAGAAAACTTTGACCATTCTATATGTTTGCCAGAACATTCCAAGAATTACACAATATTGACTGGGCATGCCTAGTTGGCACTTCCTGGTAGCTAACAATTTGAAACTGTGGGCTAGGTCATGTTGATTGTGTTTGAGAAATGTCACATATAAGAGACTGAGGAGGCATTTTGGTTCAATAATATAGGATATTCAATATGTAATTTTGTAAGTACAAATTATTCATAGAACTGTTGATTAATAGAATAACTAATGTCACCATCATACATAATTCAATCAACTATATGTGTTTGAAATACTGCAGCTATTATAAGTTTGAATTTTGTAACTGATTAAATGAACACTGTTTAATAAAGTTTATTTCAATTCTGATATGCAGCAATTATTACGTAGCTTTATGCTCAAAACACATTTGAATACTAGTTGGTATATGATTACATTTGTGAATAACCCCCGCCCCCTTTTTCAAAATGAAATGCATGTATGTATTTCCTTAAATCTCAGATTAGTTTGCAAGTATTCTTTCAATGACTGTTTGTATATAGGGAGGAAGTTCTTTTTTAAAATTTGTATGTGTAATTAGAAAGAGATAAATTGAATATGTCTACACACATGGCATATGTGTAGTTCCTGCAAGTTTGCCGCAAGTTTGCCGGAAACAATTGCCACAAGTTGGCATAATTATTTTTGCTGCAAGCTTGCTGCAACCTTCATTTGCATGGTAAAATGGTTGCAGCAAGTTTGCTGCAAATGTTTGCCACAAGGCTTATTTTTCGGTAAGGGATATATATACCACATCTTCTTATTTCTAATTATCTGAGACACAGTAAATACCATTTACTGTCACTCCTATATGCTTCTGGCAAATACCAATTTTTAAGTCTGGTTTGACCCTGTCGAGGATCAAATTCAAGATGTCCTGCACTAAAGGAGAGCATGCTATAAAGAGACCATCAGTATCAACTTTCAATATTAGCCCATCAAACAGTTAACAAAGGATTCAGTAAAAATTATGTTCGAGCAGTTTTGAATCTAAAATTAGGATAATGGATAATAAAATTCTTGGTTCACCTAACAAACAAGCAAACTTAAATTGCATGCACTAATTACACACTCAGATTAGCCGTCAGAATCTAAATGTGAAAAAACATTCCGTTGTGTGTGCTGTAAATTCATGCAGGTCATAATCACATGACAAGAACAAATTTGGACTACTAATGACTCATTATTATTTGTTGGATACTAATTTCTGTGGATTTCATGGGTACAGGGGAACCACGATTTCAAATGCTCAATAAATCATAAATCATCAATAGGAATGAAAATACCAATTTTCTTTGATTTATAATGGATAGGTGAACCACAAATTTAAATGTTAAATGATGTACAAATTTTATATTGGCTTATATGCACAATTTGACAAAACCACGGAATCAAATATCCATGAAAATGTAAGTTTTCCCCAATCCACGAAAATTGGAACCCACGAAAATAAATAAATCCTCAGTACTTGTTAGAAGGTTTAAACATGATATAGTGTACATACTAGGAAAAATAACATCTTCAAGATATACACTGCCTATAATGAAATAATGAAAAAATGAAAAATAAAGTGTAACACACATACACCATATAGCTTTCATGCAATCTGTACAGATAGGAACGTTTTGGATTAGAGAAAATGGAGTTTGGCAGATCTTTGAAAATCTCTGTTAAGGAAGTTTGCTCCTCTTGTTTTTTTAATTTTTGCCAGATTTTCGGAATCCTCTGGTTTTTACCATGTATTGCCATTTAAAAATTTTGCCCGCTAACCCCTACTTTTATTTTCATAATTTTATTACATATAGTTTAACAAGCCATATTTGAAAATCTTATAAAACCCTTGTTATTATTTCATAGTTTTTGAAACAAAAAAGTGCCCAATGTAAAAACTATGAAAAATCTAGAGAGAATAATTTCCAGCCAAATTTTCAATGGCTTATACCTTGAAAACAAGCACATGAACCCTTCATTTTTTTCTGCTTTTTTAGTTCCTTTATTTATATCATGTATATACTATCATTTAAGAACAGTCTTTTAAAAAGCTTGTTATTTTGAATCAGAGTAGCGAACATCCTTAAGGACAAGTTTAACTTTTGCATAAATACAGCTTGCACTTCAACTTTATCATAAAATATCAAAAAAGGTCACAATTTGGTTCTTAAATAGATCTATTTCAAAAAGCGTAATGCTTAAATGAAACAAATCTTTTTATAAAAGTACATTGTTGGCTCCAAAGTCAACATAGTTTGGAAGTTTTGTCTTAAAACTTCAGGAAAACATTGACCACAACTTATATTCCAAAATAGTCAGTAACAAAAAGGTACCAAGGTTTACATTGTTTCCCTAGACACATTTTATGGATCAGGGGTTGCGACAAAAGTTAAACATTCTAAAAACTGTGACAAATAAGACAAAAACTGAGTATAACATAAATGTATTATGTGATGATCCAAAAAAAAAGTTATTATGTATTAATAGTTTTATCACAACTGTTTCAATGTAATTTTATAGCTGTATTAAAACTAGAAGTGTCGGAACGACACGAATGGCCCCACTCCCAAAAAAAGAAATTTTCAAACTCCATAGCCCATAACCAAACCTAAACTTGATCTGTAACTCATCATAGTAGATTCACATACTAAAAATCAGTTCAATATTTGAAGGCATTTAGAAAAAAAGTCTATATAACAATTATTTTCATAAAATTTTCAAAGCCCGTAATTTCGACAAAAATTAGTGGACCAAAACCAAACGTGAACTCGATAGTGACTCACATACAAAAAAATCAGTTCAATATGCGAAGGCATTTAGATAATTGTTCGCGATGGATGATGGAATGACAGAATGACGGAATGACAGACAAGGGTAAAACTATATGGCCATATATACAGTAAAATCTTAGGGCTGATTTTAACCCTTCTTGAAACTATACTCCTTTATTTGCCCCTTTTCTAGACAGTGGGGGATTATGACCTTAACATATATTGCACAAACATTTTGTTGTTGTTGAAGACTGTATAAAGATCTGAAGATTTCTTAGGCTTTTTGTGTATCATTGGGTTGCTGTCTCATTGGTGTTTACCCTACAGTTAATAGTATGTTCAACATTCTTTTAAATCATTTAATTTCAATATATTTGTAAAGGCAAACTATTGAGTGTACAGCAACTTTTAAAAGCAGGTTCTCTAAGCACTTAAAACTGAAATGCAAGTCAATCAATAATATGACATATATCTTCCCAACGTCACATTGACAAGAGAATTTACCATGCTTGTCATAATACAAAGCTAAGACTACTAAATTTAAAAAAAAAACCTATTATAGAAAAGTTCAAAAGTTCTCCGTGCCCCCATCTTGACCAGAAAATAAAAGTATAATAAAATTAGGACTGTTCCATAAAAAGCAATCATGGGACCCAGGGATGGCACTTCAAAATCTCATCTATGGATTTGTGTCAAATACTTATTTGTACATTGAAAATGCAAAGGAAATTGTAAAATTACCTCTTTAGGTAGCTACCCCGTTTCAAATGTACCTTTCTTGGGTACCATGCATGTTTTTATGGAACAACCCTTACTATAATATTTTCATCTTCTTAAATGGTTAACATTGCTGTTACCTTTTCTATGTTTAAATAAAACTTTATAATCAATCATTAACTAAAAATTAATAAATTGTGGTCACAAAAGCATGGATTGTCTTTCACTTAGGGCACTAAAAAAATAATTTTTGAGATTTGCTTTTGCAGAGTAGGATTATTGAAAAACACAAAAAAGGGTTACCATTAAGTTTCGAAACTGCTATCTCTGGATATATAGAAATGGTGCTTTTCAAATTAATGTTATTGGTGGTTATGTCGAAAACATTCTTTTCTAATACACATCTAAATAAATGGCCATTGTGTCCACCGGACACAGATGATGCTCCCGCTTGCATATAACGTTATAAACTGAAGTAAAAGAACTGAAACGAAAAATTCAGCAATTTTTTTCTATGTATAAAGGGGCATAACTCTAGAACCGTATAATGACGCCACCCATATTCAAACTAGATCTGAGTTTTGTGGTAATGAGCATTGTGTATATGTTTTATAACATTTGGTTTATGCAAACTAAAGTTAGAGAAAGGAAACAAAAAATTCACAATTTTTCCATTTGGAAAGGGGCATAACTCTAGAACGGTTAAAGTGATGCCACCCAAATTCAAACTTCATCTGTGTTTCGTGGTAATAAGCATTTTTCATAATTTCATAACATTTGGTTGAGGCAAACTAAAGTTAGAGAACAGAAACTTATTTTTGGACGTACAGACAGACAAGGGTACTGCTTAAAGCCCCCTCTGCTGCAGCGGAAGCATAAAAAACTGTAAAATTATGTGGTTCTCCTATTTTAAATATGTCAAACATGTTTTTCAAAAAAAATGAAATCATCATCAGACCAGGAATCATTGACTTACTACATCAGCAACGCAAATATTCACTGAAGCATGACCTTTGCCTCACATTTCATTTGAACTTACTTCCAGAGTTAGACTAAAAACTATCAAATATATATATGTTTTGGTACCAAATAAATAAAAGTACAAAAAAAATAAATACATAAATGAAACTACAGTACAATAAAGCGTGCCTCATGTGGCTTACCTAATGTGTGAGTTGTTTCTTTACCTTTGTCTTAAAAAGTTAAAATATTATGTGATCTGCAGTGAATAATAAAGCATGATACATGTAAGGGCTATTCCACGAAAAAATGTAGGGGCAGGGGTGGGGGTAACAGCATGAATCCTTTTATACCTCAACACCCATGATTTTTATTTTTATTTGTAATAGAATTGTATTTGCTTGACCCTTATTATCCATAAAAAAAAATCCTGTGGTGTCCAACCCTCCCCTACATTTTTTTTGGAATAGCCCTAAAGGAAAAATGAAATTTTGGAAAGGCAGTGTAAAATGAGACAATCTTGAGTATAAATGAAGGTCAGGATTGTGTGTCAATAATTTTTTTCTTTCCTTTAATTTTATGTTATATTAATATTTCAATATTTCTCACAATGCTTTAATTTTTGGACCATAATGTTCCCTATCAATTCTTTACTTAAAACTATTCTCGATTCATTATTTTGATAGTTATAATTATATGTTTATCAATCCCTTATGGAAATCTTCATAAATATTGTCCTGTGGTTCCAGACTGGCATAATATATAATTTCTCCAGTAATAAACTTAGCATGTCACCATCACAAGTAATTAATTCTTGTTTAAATACATTAATTAACAATTAATACAAGCATGGTTTTATCTTTTTATCACATTCAAATTAAGTTCAGATTCTAATCTTTTATAAAATAAATGTATGAATGTACTGAAAATAAATTTGTCTCGTCTTGAAGCCAAATATGCATGATGTTAATGTAAATTTTTATATTGGATTTCTTTACGTCATCAAAGCTAAAATTCAAAGATACTCATACATTAGATGACAAAGATTACATGTAGAAGATCATCAAATTCCATGAAAAATATTGAATAAAACTTAGAGATCAAGGTAATATACAAAGCTATATGAAATATGGATTATACAACAGTGGTACAAGTGGTACAAGTTTGTTCACTCAGCTGAAACTGTTTTTAATCAATGTAATGAATGGACGCTACCTGTTAGTACCATGTAAGGAATACAACAGCATATATACTTAAGGGCTATTCCATTAAAATGTATGTGAGAGGGTAGGAAGGGACTTTCAAAATATCCCTTCAACAAAGAATCATTTTTTAGATAATTTTGCATAATGGTAATAGACGCATACTGAAAAAGAGACCCATGACCCACATTCAATAATTAAACTTCCCTTCCTACCCTCCCACATACATTTTAATGAAATAGCCCTAATTGTGTTCAGAAAACATCAAATGTTTAGTTTGATCTTTTGCTAAATAGACCAAAACATGAATATTACTTTTGTTAACAACCTATTTTATGATTAATAACTCTTAAAACCTGTACCACTGTTATAATATTTAATGTTGGTCAAATATTAATTTTGAGATAAAAAATATATTAAAAAAGTAATTTTCAGTAAGTGAATTGACAACATACCTAAATTAGCTCTAGAGTCAATACCAGCTTGTTCTGACTGTATTGGGATGGGCTGAGAAACACTTTTACTAAGGCTGTCTGTTATACCCTGTTCAAAGCTCTCATTATCCTATAAAACAGAAATGTTACATTCATTTGGAAAACTTCAACCTAATGTATTGGGATTGGTTTAGAAGCACTTCTACATACACTGTCTGAAATGCTCCGTTCAAAGTTTTCACTATCCTATAAGAAAAATTGGGATTTGACAATTGTGAATTTATAATGGGTTTAACCAGTAGTTCAAAAACTAATAAGCATCTCAAAACAATTGAATTTAGTTGTTTTTTTTTCTGTAAAAATAAGTGACTTACATGTACATAAAAGAAATTTGAAATGAAAGGAATCTGTATAAAACAGTAATTTTATAAAATATTACTGGGTACCAAACCATAAACATATTTTCCAATAAAATGTCTTTGCTAACAATTAAAAGGAGTACAAATGGGATTTAATTAAGAAAAGTTTCACTATAACTCATTTCATCTTACCTTATCTGGAGAAACACTACTTTTCTTTGAATCAGACCCATCTCCCCAGTCCCACTCTGGTATATTAGGGTCTGGAGACTGGGGCTCAATAGAGGTCTGCTTCTTCTGTAATAGAATTTAGAAATTAGTAAGCATACTTTTAAAAGTTATGTTATAATATAAAATCAGCATTGGATTTATTCTTTTGTCAATTAGTTCTCAAGACCTAATTTTCAAAATTCTAAAGTTACCCTCCCAATGCTAGACTCTTCATCTGTTATTTTGGCCTCATTTAATGCAGAGTTCATGAAAACTTTTTTTGACCTGTCATTCATGGGACTGCCAAAGCAAGATTATATTATATTCAAAGAACTCTGAAACTATAAACGGAGAATAAAGAAATTAAATGATTTGAATCAAACATTCACATTTCTTAAAACAGAAAGGAAGATAACTGTTGGATATTCAATAAATGGGAGACAACTCTGAAACTATGAAAACAGGGATTCATACAAAATGTCTTACATTCTTTAAATGACCAGAATCAAACATTTCTGATTCTTCAAACTCCTCATTAGTCTCTTTTATTACCATTGGTGCTGAGAAACATCTACTCTGTGGCTTTGTTATGTTGAGAAAGGTGGGATTCCAGGGTTCAGGTGATTTATTGATAGTCTGCAATGAGAAAAAGTGCTCTATAAACATGGTTTTAACTGAGAAGTACAAGCTTAGACAATAATTGTTGAAATGTGCATCTGGTATAATAAAATTGGTACCTTTGTATTATTGAATCTAGGACAGAAAGTCACAGGACAAAAAGCCACAGACAAAAAGTCAAGGACAAAATGTCACCAGACAAAAAGTCATAATTCAGTTTTGAGATTATTTTTTCTTTGAGTAAGAAAACATTTAGTGTGGATTCATTTATTTTCATGGGTACTAAATTTCATGGATTGAGGAAGACTTATATTTTCATGGATATTCGATTTTGTGGTTTTGCCAAAGTCTGCACATAACCTTATAGAAAATTTGTAATTGTTGAACACTTAATTTTAAGGTTTACCTGTACCCACGAAATCCACGAAAATTAGTATTCAACGAATAATAATGACTTTCTGTCCTGTGACTTTTTGTCCTGTGACTTTCTGTCCTCTTACCATATTATTGGCAATCCATATTTCTATACAATTTCATTGGTACGATAAAACATGTGAGAGAATGCATTTTCAATTCAACAATGCAACAGGAAAAATATAAGAGCAAATATATATACAACAAAAAAGACTTGAAAGAAATGTGATAATACCAAGAAAAGTAAATTTCACTAATGTTCCATGCATTTTGAAGAGCATAAGCTTCAAAATACATATTCACAATAATTTACTCTTATCAATATTCATTGTAAGATTTTTGCATGGATCAGCTGAACAAAGAATTTAACTTGCAGCTCCAATGTTTTCACTAGAATATACTATACAGAATGTGTTTTTCTCATTGTCGAAGGCTATATAGTGACCTATAATTGCTTATATCCACTTCATTTGAACTCTAGTGGATAGTTGTCTCATTGGCAATCATATTACCTATATAGGTTTACATAACTGATACACAAATTAAATCATTGTGATTCTTAGATGCCTGATAAGCAATACAGGCTCCTTGGAAATTAGAACATTTAATTCTTAGCTTGAAGGAAACAATAATCTCCCTGTATAGTATACAATACTGTGGATTAATTTATTTTCTTTGGTAACATTTTTCAAGGATTGTGGAAAAATTAAATTTTAGTGGATATTTGATTTTGTGGTTTTGCCAAAAGCTGTATATAGGCCTATATAAAATGTGTACTTCAAGAAACATTTAAATTTGTGGTTCACAAATCACAAGAAATCAACGAAAATTGGTAACATGCAAATAATAATGAATCCACAATAGGGCTATTCCAGAAAACAATGTACGGGTGGGTTGGAAGGCAGTTTGTCTCAGCATCCGCCACCCAGACAATTTAATTGAGAATCATAGTGCATTATACATGTGAAAGTTGCTCTGATACCCATCACCCATGTATTATTAATATAAAGTGCCTTCCAACCCCCCATATATTTTTTTCTGGACTAGCCCGTAGTTAAAACTGTGTTCAGAGTTTCCACCATAGAACTTCCAAATTTTTAGCCCCTAACGATTTTTTTCACAAGTGTGTCCAAATTGATCTTTTTAAATCTGGTCCTTCCAAATTATAAATCTTTTGCAAGAAAACCCAAAACATACATGTTTTTAACTGATTTATTATACCTCTGATGTAAGTGTTTCTGTTGATTTACTATCTTCTCCCCAATCCCACTCTGGTGTACTCTCATCTGGAGAGCCAGGTGTAGTTTTCTGAAATAGATTAAAATAAAACTGTATGATACCTATTTTCCTGTGCTCAACATGTTTCTGAGATAACCTTCATCCTGCTCAAGACAAAAAGTTTGGAAAGCCAAAGCTATGAGGGCTGTTTCATTTGCACCTTCATGGCACCTAGGGAAGGCACATTCAAAATTGGGTAACCAGTAGAGGCAATTTAAAAACTTCACTAACATTTTCACAATACATTACACCCTCCCATTGTGAAATTTCAAAGTGCCTTCCCGAGGTCCAATTTTTTTTTTTCTGGAACAGCCCTAAGCATAAAAACCAAAAGGGAGGTAAACAGAACATCCAAAATCTACTTCGGTTAACTTTGCCTACAGGAGTTGTTACCTAAAATAGTTATAGTGCAATTACAATTTTTTTTAATTATGGTCTGATTAAATAACTTACAGTAATATTGATTAAAACATCCTACATCAATGACAGTAAACTAAAGCAACAGTGACAAATGAGAGATTTAAAAAGTTGCATTCAACAGTCAATAAATAGTAAAATTGAGAATGAAAACGGAATGTGTCAAAGAGACAACAACCCAAACAAAGAGCAGAAAACAGCCCAAGGCCACCAATGAGTCTTCAACACAGCCAAAAAATCCCACACCTGCAGGTGGGCTTCAGCTGGCCCCTAAATAATAATGAATACTAATTCAGCAAAAATGGACTTCACACTCTCCGTAACATATAAATGAACCAAAATTAAAAAAGCATACAAGACTAACAAAGGCCAGAGGTTCCAGACTTGGGACAGGTGCAAAAATGGAATCCATCCATATTGACATTGCTATTTTCTTATAAATTCCAGAGATTCTGAATAATTTTGTTATTGTTTTAAGATATACTGTAGGTGTAATACCACCAAATCATAGTACGTCACATCCGGTTGCATACTAAAAAGGGTAGAAAAAAAATATTCCCTTGAATTTGAAAGTTGTAGGTAATTAATCCTACATTTCATTGCAGTAAAACATTTCTGGGTCATAAACATATATCTTGGGTATTTCAAAGTTCCATTATTTTTGTATTTGGGGTTTCTATAGAATATTTTGGAAGCTTGAGGTTACATGGTTACTAAAGCTTGTACACAGGTAAAAAAAGAGGTGAAAATTTGATTGGTTAACTTCCAGTAATGGTTATTTTCTTATATGCAATGAAATGTTATGTGAAATTTTGTCTATAGTACTGGACAGGATAAAACTTTACTCATGCCAAGTATTTCTTTATTTGAAACGAAGATAAATTCTGCTAAATTTTTTGAAAAGTGCAAATTTAATAAAGACTAATAGGGGAAAATCAATGGTGGTATTACACCTGTACAGTACTGTAACATACATTTTTCTTCATTTTTGATTCTACAATTTCTGACTCCTCTAACTCCTCTGTTTCCTGGATAACCATTGGAGCAGACACTGGTCTGTCAAAATGCTTGTTTTTAACGATTTCCTGCCTTTTCTCATCCAAAGTCATAGGTACTTCATTACTCTTCTTTACCTTCAAAGATAAAATAATCCATGCATAGATCAAACTTATTCGTTCAGTGTATGTTTACTTGTTTTTGTTTAAATGTCTTTTTGATAAAGTTAAGCCATTTCCATAGATATTTTTATATGCCTGTTAAAACGTTTAAACCCGCTGCATTTTATGCACCTGTCCTTAGTCAGGAGCCTGTTGTTCAGTGGTTGTCGTTTGTTGGAGTGGTTCATAGGTGTTTCTCGTTTTTTATATACATTAAACCGTTGGTTTTCCTGTTTGATTTGTTTTACACTAGTCATTCTTGGGCCCTTTATAGCTTGCTGTTTGGTGTTAAAGGCTGCACTTTGACCTATAATTGTTAACTTTTTATACATTGTGACTTGGATGGAGAGTTGTCTCATTGGCACTCATACCACATCTTCTTATTTATATTAGACATAACTAATAAAAACTACTGTAAAGGAGTAGGTGCACTAAGACCCCTTTTTGGCCCCAAAATATAGCAGTTTTCCAAAATTGTTAAAATGTTAACTTTTAGTTATTTATTGGAAAGAAGAATACTTCTGTTACATACATATGGGCTGTTTTTGACAATACAATGCACATGTATCGGGTACTAGCATCGTTAAGTCATGCTAAATTACTTGAATCTTCACAATTTGAGCATTTGAGTGAATTTTTAGACGGTTTTCGTCTTAAATGGAAGTGGCCGCATTTGTGTTCATTCTTAATATTTAAATGTAAGTTGTATTTGATGATAATACATAACATATATGAAGATTGAGGATGAACACGGATGCGGCCACTTTCATTTTTGACAAAAACCATCTGAAAAGGGACATATTATGGCATATTTGATAGATTTTTAATATTTAAGCTTGAATTTGAGCGTCTTTAATGACTAAATCAGTCCAAATCTTTCACATAAACTAATTGAATCTAATAAAGTAGACACTTGTGTTTAAAAAGTGTCCAAAATCTTTCATCAGATAAACTTGAAGTTTGAGGCCAAAATCGGCCCTTACCGGACCTACTCCTTTAGGAATTTTTGCATCGAGTACGGGTAGTTATAATTGCAAAGTTAAAAGATTGATCCTTTAATTTAATAATTGGGGCTTTATGTCCAAGGTAAGTATTACCTGTGAGTATTTTAACATACCTGTGTCATTAATTGTTGTGGAATTGAGGATACAAAATGGATACCCCTAAATAAAACAATGCCAAAGTCCATGTTTTGGTAAGGGAAACTCAAAAAAAATATCTAAAGGACTCCCCGTCACTATAGGGGTGAATGTAAAGCAGCAGGTATAGCAATATTATGAGTTATATGGTTTGCTACTGACCCCCTACGGCTCCATAGAGGATTAGTAAAATCAGAGGTGAGGCCGCAGGCACACAGGACTATTCCTGCTAAGTTCTTATGTATAGCAATAAGCAATGAAATACTATAACATTAATTGATGACATCACCATTAATAGTTAACATGAACGCCATATGAAATCTACTGACCCCATACAGATCCATAGTGGGTCACCATGTGACTGCATTAAACCAATCAAAAAGTCATAATTTATTTGAGGCGCGATAAATATATTACATGAACCAAACTAGGTAAAAACTAAATTTTTTCCTGATTTTGACACAAACAAAATTACAAACTACTCAATTCTTAGGCAAGACCCCCTTCACACACACACAAACACGCATATTTTCTAATTTTGTCTTACTATGTTTTTGTTGATATTGGATGCTGTCCGACATCCTGACCCCAGTGGGAATGAGAATGCTTTATCTGTACAGGTGTAAGCTCCAGGACTAAAATGAAGTTCTATATGAAATCTCTCATCAGAGGATGGATCCTGAAAAAAGAAAAAGAATGCAATGAATTAAAGAAAAATAAACTGTTAAAGCAGAGATATCTCTCGCCTTTTTGTTATTTTGATAGTAAAATGCAAATGTTGGAATTAGAAAAATAGCAATACTTTTTTGAAATGTAAGATATGCAAAATATTCAAAGTCAATGAACCATGATGAAAATAAGATGTGCCAATACAAATATAACTGCATACCAATTCTCATTGACCTATAGCTAATACTAGTGGATCCCATAAACTGACCTAATCACAAACTAATACATGTAAACTAAGCAAAAGTTTCAAAGTCAATAGACCTGGAGTTAGGGGACAGGGCCAAAATATCTTCATGGAAATCAGATGAGCCAATGCTAATACAACTGCATACCAAATAATATTGACCTACCACTAGTGGTTCTCCATAAACGGACCTAATCACAAGCTAAATTATTGTTGACACAGTAGCCGCTGCCAAAGCCGGAAACAGCAAACTTATGTCTCGCTTTTGAACTCTGTCAAGGCGAGACAAAAATCATCAAACTATGGTGTATGAGACAAATAAACAATGTTTTAAAATTTTTGTTCTTTTCTTTCACTTAATGGATAAATAATATCCTAATCAGTTTGCAAAAATATAAGCATTTTAAGCTTTTGAAAACTGTCTTAATAGCTAGCTTAATGTGTATTGAAAATATAAAACTTTTAAGTTTACATTTCATTTTTGTTTAAGAGTCAATCCACATTTTATAAAGACTTTTTCTAGAAATAATAATACAGTTTCTATTAAAAGCTATTACCCCTCTGTGTATTTGATATTAACTGATTGTGTCTGACATATTTTTTGGTCATATAATGTAATGAACCATCACTGTTTATCAAATCTGGAAAGACTGCCTGATCAACCTCTCACCTGCCCCGACCCAATTTATTACCTTGGTTATTCCTGGATCAGTCTTAAGAACCTGTACTCTTTTTTTCTTCTGACATTTTGTTTTACTTTATACCATTGTTTAAAATTCAAATGAAAAACTGTGTATGGGAAGGTTTTTTATATAAAATCATGAATATTATTCAGTTTTTGAGGAAAAATAGATTTGTACAAATTAAAATTAAAGAATCAGAAAAGGCCAGATTCAAAAAAAAAAATTGTTGTTGTTAGAAAACAATAATTGCTAATAGTTCAGCGAATTATAGCATACTCTTTAAGGCCTATTTAGGACATAAGTAAAAATCTGTAGAGGACATCAAACCTTTGTGGGATCTTCAAACATCATAATAACAATCTGTGTCATATAGTTCAGTTCTGATGTAGCACTCAGATAATTCATAGCTTTCTCCCATTGTTCATCATTATTCTCCTACAAAGAAAATAAAATAGAAGACATCTGTCATGGAAGACATCTGTATGGAAGACATCTGTCATGGATGACATCTGTCACCTTCTGTCTACAAATGATACAAATAGAAATGGTGTAGTATATGTTCAGGTATGGGAAATCCACAAAAACAAAAACTGTAGAAGGATCTGTGCAAGTTTGGTGGTAAGCTGTTATTTTTTAAATTAACAAAGTGTAACATGGAAAACAACAACCATGATGGCATACAATGACAGAAGTGATCTCTTTGTTTCTTTAGGTCTTTACTGTAAGGTAACACTATAAAAGGACAGCTTGTTTTTTTACTGATTCTCATATCACAACTTCTATATTTGTTTACATCCTTATCCTTTGAACTTTGGTAGGTAGTGGTCAGGGGAGGATCCCACCATTTTAAAAGGGGGAGGGGGTTCCAACCATATGTCCCCATTCAAAAGCATTGATTACCAAACCTCTGGAACCCCCTCCCCCCCCCCCCCCCCCCCCCCCCACCCTTGGATCTGCCACTGGTGGTCTCATTGGGAATCATACCACATCTCCTAATTTTTAAATTGATAAAACATCTACGAAATATTAAGGAATCCCTTCAAACTTTGTAAAGTGAATATTGAATGGTTAATGGCATTTTTAAATGCAGTGTACTACGATCATCATTGTAAAGTCAGCACTAGTTCATTGTAAAGTCAGCACTAGTACATTGTCAGGAAACCCCCCCCCCCCCCCTAATCCCCATGCAGTGTACCATGATCAGCACTAGTACATTTTTAATTTTGTAGTTTTCAATTTGATAACAATATAACAATATACCTACATTACAGAGTCCTCCAAATCGTAACATGTTCAGTAAGGAATGTATGTGGCTCTCACTGGTAAAATACAGCCTTGTCCTGACAAATCTCTCAGGAGAGGAAACTCCTTTGGAATATCTAAAATAATAAATATATTTGTTATTCAGGTGGTGAATCAGTGAAAGTTGAGATGTATTCAATTTCAAAGTTTTAAACTACCTATATAACACTTTATTTAATACAGTTGCTTCTTAAAACCTTCAGTTTTATAAAAATTGCTCAGATCGGTTATGCTGTTGAAAGATCAATTATTAAACCAGGTCTGCCAATTTAGATTTATTGTTCAAAGTAATGGTCAGTGGCAAATATTTCATGCATATTCAGAAGCATAAGAATACATAAGCAGGAAATACAGAGGATATATTTTTTAATCGAACACTGTCTACTATCAAACCCACATATCTCTCATTAAGTGATGAGTGTACCAAATGACAATGGAGCTGTTACTTTAAAACAATTTTTTTCCATTTTCACTTGATGTTAAGCTCATTTTTTTCTTCGTTAAAATCGCGCTTTCCAATAATATCTTTTTCATGTTTTTGTCTTGTCGTAAATTATTTCGATGCCATAATATAATTATGTAGCACAATCTAGGCATACTGTGACATTATTTTGGTATTTTCATTGTCAGGGTCAGGTTTAACACATTTTTCCATATCAATCTTGACACGTATATACAAAAGTCTCAAAAAAGCAACCAACTAGGGAATTTATTAAGGTATATCAGATTGTCTAAAATTGAATACTATACAAACAGGGAACAATTATACAAGTCTAAATATTTGTTCAATGATACTGATACAAAAATATTTTGTACGAAATAGATATATAGAATGATATAATATTGTACTAACAAATATTTAAGCACAACAAATTATTTTCGTCATGGACAATCATTGTTCAAAAATGCAATGAAATCCTAATAGTATTATTAAATAAACGCATCAAAGATACTAGGCTTAAAATTTTGTAAGCCAGTCATGAGTTTGGTCTACAAAAGACTCATGACATATTATCTATATGTAAACCTACTGAGAATTTAGTCTGGTGCTTTCGTCGTCAGGATCAGGCATAACACATTGTTCTATATCACTCCTGATCTTTCTCATCAATGGTGTACATAAATTCTGGGAAATATGTAGCTTCTCTTCTACTGTTATACCATACTCCTGTGAACAAAAATATGAATGATTCATGCAAAAAAGTTGAGCTCTATACTTTTTGTTTCTAGGTTTTTTTTGTATTGTTAAGTTGATGTTTCATTGATAGATATTCAACATTGTGTCTTGATAGATATTGGTTGGAAGAAAACTTGTATCATTCATTTTCTTTTTTTAAGTTTTTTGGGGTGGGGTATTAAGGTGTCACAACAAACTAGAGGCTTGTCGCTCACCTGCACATTCAACAATGGTCACTTTTTGATAAAAATCATGATCAAAGGGCAATAACTCCATAAAGCGTTAACTGACAATTTCAGTCATGTTGACATTTTTGATTTTTAAAGTTTTTATTTATCTATTATAGTTTTCAAAATAATAGGTAAACCAGGGCTTCCAAAACGGTCATATATTCCGGACTTGACCGAAACTTTCATAAAAAGACCGGCTGCTCTCAGCCTCAAACGGTCAAATAGAATTGGTGTGCCACATTTTGTTATTCAAGGCATTTTCATGAAACGGTCATTTCAATTTTTACCAACTATCGATCGATAAAAATGTCCGTTTGGGGCTTTGGGCATGTCCGTTTGGGCATTTTAGTTTATAATTGTGGCAATCTATTTCACAAAGATATTTCGGTCATAATTGGGTTTAATAAAACAGAAGCAGCATATTTCAGATACTTTGAAGTGTCTCAGTTAGTCTAATCCTCTGGGTACATAAATGTACGGCTTGGTCTTTAGCTTGTGTACATCAATAAAAAGTAGAAAAAACACGTTTTCTTTTATTTAAATAACAACAAGCTGTCAAACAATTATCCCTTGAATAAGTTATATTGAAGCCATAAATCATTCACTGATTACAGGTTTGTTACCTTTGATGAGGTGTCCTTAGCTTATCTTTATCAATAGAATTAATGATGCATAACAATGTACATAAAGGTAATCCGGTAAACGAGGTCAAACATGTAAGCGTGTATGGAACAACATCCTATTTAATTACGCTTTATAGATATTATTTTAAATGAGCATTCAGTTTTAAAAGTATCCTGATATTTAAAAGTTATTCTTCAAATAAGGATATTTATAAATGAATAAGTATGATATATATTATTTTATTTAACACAGTACATCGTGTTAAATACTGGGGTACTCTCAAGGGGAAAATTTACTAAAATATATAGGAAAAACCAATGGACAAATTTCAGTCAATAAATGATTTAACTAAGTTAAATGGTGCCGTGATCACTTCTAAATTATATCAAGAGAACAATGCCTGCTCCGAATTTATTCAGACAATTTCCGATGTTATAGAGAAAGAGGTGATGTCCGACGTAAAGTTAAGTCCCGCCGTGGGAATTATGATCGACTAAGGTGTAGTCTAGGTATTGACGCTTTAGATCAACTTATGAGGATAAGCTTATTAGGTGTAGATGTTAAAGACTTTGACCCTGTTCCTGCTATCCGCAAATGGCAATCCGTTCGTAACCGCCATGTTTATCAGAACAATGCATTTAGCAAGCTCATGAATGTAAAATCTTTAATTAGACTAAATGAACTCTAATCTTGTGCTGTGATCTGTGCTTCTTTTCAATGTGCTCATTGTAATATTTATTGCGTGTGTTTGTCAGCATTGTGCTCTTCTGACATTTTATTGTTGTTATATGCTTACATAAAATATCATGTTGTTATTCATTAAATTATTTATCAACTGAGTATGTTTTTATTTATTCCTTATTTTCTAAATCAGGTTGGGAAATTGTACAAAGAAAAATGTTATCACTGTTCAGTAGATTTTACACGGTTTAAAACAATATCCTTCATCGGGCCTCCTCAATATTATCTATAAATACCGCATCAGTTGTAAAAGTCACGTGGTCAGGTAATCAATACACAAAAAGAAAAGTATCACGTGTATTGATGATCAAGTTGTACTGCAATTAAAGCCAACATCAACAGTTTCAAATAAGATGGCCTTAATTTACAAAGTGTTAAGTACTCACAGAGAGAAGATAGATTATATAAACAGAAACAAAAACATGAGAACAGTCAGGTACTGAAGCTGATTGATGAAATGATGGTTACTGTATTACGATACACAGAAAAATGACACAATACCGAGGATAATATTTTATTTATTTTTAGAATGAAACAGTTATAAATAATTTTATTGCATATAACACTACTAATTATTTAGACACATATATCAATTTATGCATCCTCTCAGTTACATTTAAGTATACAGCTGATCATTGACCGTCAAAAATATTTCTTTGAAAAATGTCCGGCTGTCGTCAGGAAATTTTGGAAGCCCTGAGGTAAACACATGATAAAAATCATCATTTAAGGGCAATAACTCTTATACAGAGTTTACTGAAGATTTGAGCCATGCTGACTTATTTGTAAATCTTATCTTGCTGATATTTGTAAAAGTTAACGGACAACAACAAAGATGCCAAGTGATGAGAAAAGCTCACTTAACCTTTCAGGTCAGGTGAGCTAAAAAAAAAATCAACTGAAGCTATTTAAAATGTAACAATTAATTTTATCCTATACAGATGTAAGATATAATTTCAAAGTTTTGATCTTTTGAAAACAGAATTGTAAACCTAACTTTTTTTTAACAAAATTAAAATATCTATACCTGTGGAATAACTATATCTGCCAAAGCTTTAGAATATTTAAACAACTCAGTCGCTCTCTCATACTGTAATGTTTTCTGGTTGTGTTGTAGATCATACTTGATACAATCATATATATCAGGAATTTTACTAATTTCAAATCGTCCATCTTTCATTCTGAAATCTTTTTCTAGCTTTGCCCATCTCCTTATCAACAGTTCCCAGGATTCTCCATTATATAACTTTAGATCTAGAAAATTATACAAGCAGATAATAAAGGCACTTTTTCTTCATATCAAAATATTTCTAAAATCAATATAAAATTTTAAATCTTTTACCTTATGTAAGAAAATATAATAATGTTAATGTTATTTTGGGGAGTGTATCAATGCACTATTACATAGATACATTGTTTTCCACTTTCTTTATTGCATAACAAAAACAAAATGTTTTAAAATTATAACCCCTCTGACATTTACCTATAGATGAAATAAAAAAAAATTCGTAAGGGTTCCGTGGAACCCAGTGTCTCGCCTACTTTTGCTGTTAATCGCAGGCTCAACAAAAATGAGGAAAAAATTAATAAAAATATTCCTCTCTATACTATCTTTTGATTGTAAGTAGCTTCTGTCCAAGTTTGGTAAAAATCCAGGATAGTTTATGAATCTAATAAATGTTTTAAAAACTTAAACTGCAGACTGTATGTAATGTTAACTGGAAGAAAAACTAAGTCCATTTATAAGTAAAATACGGAAAAAATGGAATTAAATTTTAACAAAATTTCCTTCTAGATACTAGCTTTTAATCATAAACAAGCTTCTGTCCAAGTTTGGTAAAAATCCAGGATAGTTTAAGAAAGTTATTAAAATTTCAAAAACTTTAACCACAGAGTGAATGTAATGTTTCCTGGCAGAAAAACTAAGTCCATTTATAAGTAAAATACGGAAAAAATGGAAATTTTTTTTTTGCAAAATTTACTTCTGGATACTATCTTATGATCATAAACAAGCTTCTGTCCAAGTTTGGTAGAAATCCAGGATAGTTTAAGAAAGTTATTAAAATTTCAAAAACTTTAACCACAGAGTGAATGTAATGTTTCCTGGCAGAAAAACTAAGTCCATTTATAAGTAAAATACGGAAAAAATGGAATTTTTTTTTTACAAAATTTACTTTTGAATATTATCTTATGATCATAAACAAGCTTCTTTTCAAGTTTGGTAGAAATCCAGGATAGTTTAAGAAAGTTATTAAAATTTCAAAAACTTTAACCACAGAGTGAATATTTGTGGACGCCGCCGCCGTCGCCAACGGAATGTAGGATCGCTATGTCTCGCTTTTTCGACAAAAGTTGAAGGCTCGATAAAAATCACATAAAAATCCCTCTTTACCTCAATATCATGAAAAAAAAGAAATTTTGGGTTATGTTAATATAATAGTAATTATGCTTTTCTATTACAACATTCTGGTGACTTAAAAAGACGGATTTCCCACAAGTTCATATACAAACTTTAATATATTGCAAATTTACCCTATCAATAATGGTAATTGTATCCTTAAGAAAGGTATATTTATACTTATTTAGACTTAAGTTGGTATTCTCCTAGACAAAGATTTCCTTGCTGTGTTGAAGACCCATTGGTGGCCTTCGGCTGCTCTTTGGTTGGGTTGTTGTCTCTTTGACACATTCCCCATTTCCATTCTCAATTTTATAGTAAAGATAGATAGATCACTTCCATATAAAACTATACCTCTGGTTCGGTGTTCCAGCTTCAGATTTCTAACTTTATTTGTCAATTCCTGCACCATTGCATAAACATATTCACAAAATTTTCTGGGATTCTTAATGTAGTCTAATGCTTTAACCAAAGACTCATTTTTAGTTGGTGCAAGCTGAAAAAAGAAAAAAAAGTGGTGAAACTATACTAGATAACAGTTGACTAAAAAAATATAGAAAATATGTGACCTGAGATAACCCATTCATTCCCTCTACTCCCCATATCTGATAATCCAGTCACTGATTTATGAATACAAAATTCCTCATAACTTTTGCCATGCTTGCAGATTTTGCTATGTCCCTGTTATGCTTTTATGGGAACATCAAGAAATTATATAAGATAAAACAAAATTTGAGGTGCAAAATTCTGTTTTATAATCAAGATTCTTCAAATGTTATAGGGCCTCTGTGGCTGAGTGGTCTTTGTAGTGTATCACTAACCTGTCAACACTGAGGTTGTAAGTTCAACCAAACACATAGCAAGTGCGCTCCATTCCAATCTTAATTAACAAGGATTGTCCGTTTTCCTGCTGAAGGTTGTGGTTCTCTCCGGACACTCCAGCTTCCTCCATCTATAAAAACTAACAGCTACCAAATAGCCAAAAGTGCTATAAGTGCTGTTAAACACCAATCAATCAATCAAATGTTATAATGAATCCCACTCATTTGTTTTGGAGGAGTTGGGGATAAAAATCCCCCCTCCCCCTCCTCAAGATTTAATTATTTTGTAATGCGGAAAGAGATACATTGTATTCACAGGAATTTGGGATGTGACATTATTTCTGAAATGATCAATTTACTAAATATAAGGAAGTTTGATTATCCTTGGTACTGTAAATTCAGAAATTATTGCATGCATTTATTATTGTGATTTTTCAAGAATGGAGAAAAATGCGAGATTAATTATTGCGATATCACGAAAATCTGCATACAGATATATGTAATAGACATCAGCGACTCTTTTCACAAAAAATCTTACGATTAAAATTGATTGTAAGTTATACTGAAATGTGTATGACTTACGAGTAAATTTACTCTTAAGTTAAGATTTTTTGTGAAAAGAGCCGCAGAATGCTATTTCATATTATTGCGATAGTCACCCAGTCACGTTACTGGTATTAATAAAAACCTCGCAATAATTTCTAAATTTACAGTATCTACTCATTTTTCTTACTTTCTGTATTTCATCTTCACTAATATCCTTGTCTTCATTAAGGATCTGTGTCAATCTGGCTTTTACACTATAAATAAAATAATGAGATACATAGAGTACTAGTTTATACTTGCTAGTTCTGTGGATTCATTTATTTTCGTGGGTACCAATTTTCGTGCATTGAGGAAAACTTGCATTTTAGTGTATATTTGATTTCATGGTTTTGCAAAAGTCTGCATATAAGACGATAGGAAATTTGTTATTCGTTGAACATTTTATTTTGTGGTTCATCTGTAACAATGAAATCCACGACAATTGGTATACCGTGAATAATAATGAATCTACTGTATACAAAAAGATAATGGTTACTTGTAATTAACTTTTGTTAGCAAATTCAATAATCGTCTGCTGATTTGTTGAAGTGTTATGTCTGACTGATCTAATATTCCCTGTTTCAGTATGTAAAGTTTTATGGGTAATATCATTATCGTTACACCAAAATGATGTCCGAGTATCCATAGTTTAGACCATTGCAAAATAGAATATTGTTGAATAGAACGTTTGATGTATGCTTTTGAAAGCTTTACCAGAATAAATTAAACTCGGAAAAGGTAAACCGCAGAAGATCTTAAGATCTACTAATTTCAAATCACTTAAAATATTTGTGTCTAATTGTGAGTAGAATAAGCTTTAAATTGTAAAATTTGTAGAAAAAAAGACAAAACTGAGGAAATCTATAAATGCATGTTTGAAAGTCCTGTAGCCATACTAAATCATCAAAAATAGATTTTTTTTTTATTGAAGCTGCATTAGTGCTATGAAATAAAGCAACCTTATCTAAAATAAAGCTCAAATGCCCAAGACAACAGCTTATATCACTAGTATATAGATTCTGATCTGAAACAGCAATTTCATTCTGACCAATTCTTAATACTGCACATTGTGTTCAGATCAAAACGGTTGTTTCAGACTAAAATTCATTAATAACTAGTGAGACATACTAAATCACATACAATATATAAAGGTTAGGCAATGTCATGCAGATGGGTCAATATCCGATCCCTAATGCGCTTCAAAATAAACAACTACAATATGCAGATGTAGCATATGATTCAAGTCAATGACAGACAATGAGATGGACTAGCCCATGATAAACACAAACAATAGGAATAAGAGCATTACAGGAGTCACACATAAACTAAAACATGATGTACCACACGATTCAAACTGTATAGTAAACATGCAAGTCGTAGAAATACATACATAGCTTGTTTTGAACAAGACAATCTCCGTAACAACTCAAGAGGTAAACTAAAAACAAAATTAAAACCATGGCTGGTTAATTCAATTAAAAGGTTCCTTTTACCAAACTTAACAAAACAGGCAAGCAAATAAACACACAAAAATAAACCAGTAGATATAAAATGTGAAGATATTCTATTTTAAAAATTTCATTGGAGGATTGAAACAGGAATATTTAGTGTTGTGTACAGGGAGCATTACATGTGAGCTGTGTCGAATAGAAATCAAACTTATGCAAGTGCACATATACATGTACAAGTATAAGACTTTGATTCATTTTGGAACATTCAAATACGAAATGAATAGGAATCTTGTTCTGTTTTGTAGGGTTCTTATAACAACATTACCTCAATTTTCAAATAGTAACAGACTTTGCATAGAGATTTTTTTAACCCAAGTTAGGATAACAGATGTATTGATATTCATTTGCATAATGTTGATTTCTATCCGACGCAGCTCATATATCAAATAAAAGTAGATGTTTGTTTTGGTTTTTAATGTGCTTGGGTTGCTGTCTCATTGATCATCTCTTGCAAACAGCTTATAGTTGAATTAATTTTTTTCAAATATTAAAAGTTTTTAACACCTTTTTCATCTAGTTCTTCAATTCACTTGTACATGTACTGTTACAAATGAGTAATGCTATACATGTACTTATAAATACAATTTCGTAGCATATTCATTAGACATAAACACTTTTTGCATTATTTTCAAGAGTAACTTCTAGTTGATGTTTGAAAAAGAGTTGTCTTTCTTGGAAGCAGACAAACTTAAAATGTTCCTGAGTTGATTTTTTTGGTAGAAATGAGCATATCTATATTTAGAGCTACACTTGTAAATATTTGATATCATTCCTGAACTAATTTTACCATTTAGCTTGTGATTTCGTTAACATGAAAAAAAGGTTTAAAAACTTAAAAAAAAAAAAAATCTGAGAATAATATGTTTGTGGCTTGAATTGATATTTTTGAAAAAATCAAATTATAAATAAAGATAACAGCAGTATACCGCTGTTCAAAAGTCATAAATCCATTGAGAGAAAACAAATCTGTGTTACAAACTAAAACCGAGGGAAACACATTTACTTTAAGAGGAAAAACAATCGAACAACAGAAACAAATGCCAACATATATAAAAACAAACTATTTGATAACAACTGCCATATTCCTGACTTGGTACAGGACATTTTAAGAAAAAATGGTGGGTTGAACCTGGTTTTATGGCTAGCCAAACCTCCCGCTTATAAGCCAATGATTCATCAACAATCTGAAAAATGTGAGAAGCTCTTGTAAACATTCTGATATTAAACGATCCAATCAGAAGCTCTTATAAACATTCTGATATTAAATTATCCAAATAGACATATAACATGCAAATAAAACAGTTTCATATGTTTTACTAACTACTTAATAGAGATAGAACTTTAGCAGAAGAAAGCGTTGCTACATTTAAAAAATCTTTTCATCAACAACCAAACTTTTTAACTTTACATAGGATGGACAAATGGACAAAGGGATAGACGTATGCAAAGACTGGAAAACTTAATGCCACCTTATTTTGTAGGTGAAGCATAATATTTAGCATAAAGTTACAATATTAAGCATGTCAGAATACTTATATTCTATTGGTTGTTTGTTGCATTGCATTTATGACTTGACTTTCCTATTTTTTTTTTGTTTATTTTTTTTTTTGGGGGGGGATGGGGAGGGGGAAAGGGGGGAACAGGGGTGGTGAAGTGGGAAAGTAGTATAACAAAGTTGTTAAAAATTTTCAAATTCAACAAGATTGCTCTAAAATAATACTTTTCATCTTAATATTATAAGAAAATGAAGCTGTATAACTAGGGATTATTCTTGACCATAATGACAAGTTAAAACAAATATATAAACACTATAAACAGTAATCAGGAAATTGATGAGAGAGAAAAATGAAACAACAATTTCATAAATGGCAATGATGTCCCAGAAGATTTATGTATTCAGAAAAAAGCATCACACAGTATAGCATGAAGCTTGATACATATTTCAGGAGGTTCTGATTTGTAGTTCTTAAGACAGAATGGGACAGAATAAATAAGATTGACCTGTATTACTCCCTACTTTGGAGCAACAGTATAATATAAAAACTTCTCAAACTGTCAACCATGTTTTAATTATGCATTCACAGCTTAATTCCATTGGTTAAGTGTATTATACTTTCGGACTGGGCCTTTAGAAATGCATCCATGGATTTTTCTCCTCCTTAGGTACTTAAACACTTACATTGAAAGAAAAGTACTGTAAATACATTTTTACATATCTAAATTTATGGCAATTGACTTTGTCAAATTTTATAATATTTAATAATGATGACTGAAATTCTACTAAATGTCTAAGCAAGTACAGTATTATTTGCCTTGGTGTATGTATTTACCAAGTAAATTGACACCTGAAAACAACAATAAAACACTTTGATTCCACAATAGTTGTATTACTTAGGACCAGATATTCTTTGAAATTTTGCAGCTTCCATGTTTTGAAAATAATTTTAATCATTTCTGTTTCATTACATAATTCATAATAGGGTTGATACATGTATATTGAAAGCAAAATTCTGAAAAGATTACAGCTTCTGGTCCAAGTATATTTTTTTTAAACATTTTTATTTAGTTGATGTCAGATGATGGTACATCTGTAACAGTTTCCATTTAATTCATTTACAACTTTTATCGACTCGGGACAATTTAGAGCTTGACATATATTGTATAGGCTATTTGTTGAGGATTGCATGTGGCCCTGTAGATGTTTTTTTACTATCTGTGTTGCTGGATTGCTGTATCACTGACACATACCAAGCATCTCATTTTAAAACTTTTTGCTAGTCTGGACAAATTCTACAATAAAATATGGATAAAAGGAGATATGGTGTATACATCTGTAAGTTAGTACAAACAATAGTTATTAAAAAAATATTAAGATATTCACTCTTTTTAGGGCTTTTCCAGATATTAATGTATTATGGGAGGAGAGGAGGAGGAGTTTAAATGGTAATCTTTATTTCTTCCAACCTTGAATAAAATTTGAAAAGATATACATTATGTACTTTTTCATGTAGATTTTCAAAAATGACTATAGTCAAGTGATGGGTATTAAGTTTTAATAAAAGTACCCCCCCCCCCCTCTTTTTTCCCCATACAAACATTTCTGGAAAAGCTCATCAATATTTCCAGTCTTACATGTGCTGGTGTTTAGATTCCCCTTCCTTGTCAAGTAGACCATTAGTGTTAGCACTCTTTACCATCTGGACCAAGATTGGAGTTAACTCCCCTTCAAATGCTAACATACCCTGAAAATAATGGAACATATTTAGAACATGCACGGTGGTCTATAAGTAGTCGGGTTGTTGTCTCTTTGACACATTCCCCATTTCCATTCTCAATTTTATTAATAGAATTATTTTTTCTTCTTTGATGTCTGGTAAAATTGCAAAATTGTGCTTATCATAGACAATTATTTTTCTCAAACATATAGTGATCTATAGTCTCATAAAAGCTGCAATCACAAAGTACCATTATGCAACAATATTTTTTGGTAAAATTTTACTAATTTATTATGCCAACTAATGAATGATTTTTGTATCATATCATGTTTAGAATGGCAGTTGCTACAATTTACTTATGAGATAATTATACACAGCTGATAAACCATGCAAGACATTTTGCTAGAGTTCAGCACTCTTTTTTAAGATATTTATTAATTCTTTATTGGTGCATAACACCTTTCTGACTAACCTTGGTAAATGCAGCTGCTGTCATCTGAACTCGGCCTTCGTCTGATGCATAAATCTTCAAATCATGTCTGAATGTACTATGTAATCGAAGGAAACCAAGTCCTGGTGTCTCAAACTGACCTGTCCAACAAAAATTCAATTGATAATTAACTGTTTCCTTAACATTCAATGGCAAATATTTTATGTATGTTCAGGACAAAACAATATTCCAAAGGGAAAAAATTAAGTCCTGAGGTTTTAATTTGACCTTTTTTTTTTTGTTAAAACAGATAAAACCTGTAATAAAAATAAAGCAAAGATTTCAAAAGACAGAAAGTTAAACCATAAAGTCAGAAATTTACCAAAAGTATAAAAAATGTCAATATTCAAAAGACAGCATAAAAAGGCTTCTTGAAGATGCCTCATGAAACTAGCCTCAATTAATCCTAATATACTTATACAATAAAATTGAGAATGGAAATGGGGAATGTGTCAAAGAGACAACAACCCGACCATAGAACAGACAACAGCAGAAGGTCACTAACAGGTCTTCAATGCAGCGAGAAATTCCCGCACCCGGAGGCGTCCTTCAGCTGGCCCCTAAACAAATATATATACTAGTTCAGTGATAATGAACGCCATACTAAACTCCAAATTGTACACAAGAAACTAAAATTAAAAATAATACAAGACTAACAAAGGCTAGAGGCTCCTGACTTGGGATAGGCACAAAAATGTGGCGAGGTTAAACATGTTTATGAGATCTCAACCCTCCCCCTATACCTCTAGCCAATGTAGAAAAGTAAACGCATAACAATACGCACATTAAAATTCAGTTCAAGAGAAGTCCGAGTCTGATGTCAGAAGATGTAACCAAAGAAAATAAACAAAATGACAATAATACATAAATAACAACAGACTACTAGCAGTTAACTGACATGCCGTCATATATAGGACGGGTGCCACATGTGGAGCAGGATATGCTTACTGATATAGTGTTTTGTATACTGTTGTTTGTCTTGTGGTCATTATTCATTTTTTGCCATGGTGTTGTCAGGTTTTTTTCGACTAATGAGTTTGAATGTTCCCTTTATGTTCTCATAAAATGTTGCAACTTTTTTCAGAGTGGGCAAATAATAGTGTACAAAAACAAGTACAGGTTTCCCTGTTCTGTATTCTAGACCAGCACTCTTTAGCACTAGGTCACATGAAGGTCATCACAAATACCTAAATGCAAGGCAGCTTTGCACGATTCTTTCTGCAATTCTGTACAAATGACACCAACTAAAACTTTGGTTTTACCAGCCTTTGCTGAAATCTGCTGTCATAATCAAAAGACAAAAGTCCTTAAATATTTATTCAAGCAAACAATTTCTCTTAAAAGTTAACTTTACCCTGACCTCCTGGATAAAGTGTCCTGAATGCTTTCCCAAGATCCTCTGCTTGTATTTTTCCAGCTGGAGTTAACTCCCCTCCCCATTTTGCAATCAGTAACAAGGATGGCGGTCTAGGTATATCATCTAAAAAGCAACTTTTAAAAGTTAGAAAAAATTTATACATACAAACATATTTGTTGAAATAATTTGTTTTACATTTATATTAAACATATCAATTTTTTTTTATGAAAATTACAAAAATGTTACAAAGGCAATAAAACAGAAACTAATGAATAAATCCTTTTACATATTCAACATTTAATTCGAAAAATTTCATTGAAAAATATCATAAATCTGTTTTTTATTGAAAAATGTATATGAAAAGAATGTTATTCTAGCGCACCAAGCAAAAAGTCTTCTTTCATTTGTAAGCAATTTTAAGTTTCCTTTATAAAAATTCAAAAATCAAACGCACCAATCAATGAAATGAAACCTCCACAGAATTATTAATGTTGTTAGAAATGAATTTTTAGTTGACATAACAACAACTTAGTTAAGTAAAATGACTACTTATCTGTTCACCAAGATCAAATATTAGTAAATGATCAGCACCACTACAGAATATAACTTTTCCATTTAAATTGATGATTGCAAGCAAGGTCTACACACTAATATTCTAAGTAATAATCAGCATGATGAAGCACCCAGCATTCATGGATACCATATGAGGCTAAAAAGGGAAATCTGTAAATCCGAACCCCTTCCATTTTGTTTTTTGTACAATGATTTTCCCCCTAAGCATGATGGAGCACCAGCAATCATGCATATTATATGAGGATGATAAGGAAAATGTAAAATCTGAAACCCCATCGTTTTGGTTTTTTGAACAAATTATTTCCCATCCCATAGCATGAAGCACCCAGCATTCATGGATACCATTTGAGGATGATAAGGAAAGTCTATAATTCTGAAACCCCTCCATTTTTTTTTGGTACCAAAAATCCCACCCCTTTGAATGATGAAGCACCCAGCATTAATGGATATCATTAAAGGTTGATAAGAAAAATCTATGAACTTGAAATCCCTTTTTTTTTTGTACATATGATTTTTTTACACTAAGTATGATGAAGCACCCAGCAAGGGTACCATAAGACGTTGATAAAGAAAATCTAATGTAAAACCCCTCCATTTTTTTTAAATTTTTTTTTTGGACAAATGTTTTTCCACCTTAGCATGTTGAAGCACCCAGCATTAATGGATACTATACGATCTTGAAATGGAAAAAAGGAAAATCTATAAATCTGAAACCCCTCCATTTTGTTGTTTTGTACAAAGGATTTTTCCCACCTTAGCATGATGAAGCACCCAGCATGAAAAATCTATAAATTTGTACAAATGTTTTTTTTCCCTTAGCATTAAAAGCTGCATTAAATGAAGGGAAGGTTTTTAATCAAAACAATGAATTGGAGGCTCAGACAAATAGCAACTTATTCCTGTTGTTATGTGGTAGTGTTGCCTATTAAGCTACCTAAAGTTTCCGCATTAAATCAAGATGAATTTACCATATTATTAGCCTCATTTTTGTCTTTATGTGAGAAAATTTACAGTAAAAAAACTTATTATTAGTCGTTAGCCCTTTTCTCTACCTTATTTTCAAAATAATGCACATAAATTTAACTTCAAAAATATCATTTTTAAAATTATTGTTTTTCATTTGTCTTTATGTGCAAAAAGTTTAGTTTTCCATTATAGATTTAATAAATGAAAAGAAGCTCAGTAATTCTCGATTCTTCTTAACCACAAACCAGCATTGAACTGGCACCAAGGGAAAGAATGTACCAAACAAATTTACAGTCAAAAGTATGATTCCAAAAATTAAGGATGAGATAAATGATGAGCTTCATGAAAAACTTCTATGGCTTAAAGCCATAAAGATGAGATTGGATAGTTATTTGGTGTGCATAGTTAATAAAATTATTAATATTAGTTCATCTCAAATCTATAAATATAAACACAACTGGATTAAGAAAATCATTAAAACTGTATTCTAACTCAGTACCTGCTGCTAATGTGTAAGAGGATCTAATTATAACCTTAGAAACCAAATATTTCCTAGCAATTGTAATTTTTTAAATAAATGAAAAAAAAAGGAACATCTAGTTTCAGGGCAAAAGGGAGGTAACTTAATAAGCACACTGCAGCAATGATCAATTCTAAAACTAAAATTACCACCGCTGTCTCCAGTTTCAATTTCTAAGTCAAAAACTGAAATGGTATATATATATAAATTGAAGAAAAAAATTATAGCATTATGCACTGCATTTAAAAACACCATTGAAAATAATTTTACTGTCTAATTACTATCTCTCTATGAGAACAAGAACTTTTTTCACAGTAAACATGAACTTTTCTAATTAACAGTGAGAACAAGAACTCTTTCTATCTCACCATGAGAACAAGAACTTTTTTTTCTCACCACGAGAACAAGAACTCTTTCGATCTCACCATAAGAACAAGAACTCTTTAGATCTCACCAGATCTCACCATGAGAACAAGAACTCTTTATATCTCATCATGAGAACAAGAACTCTTTCTATCTCACCATGAGAACAAGAACTCTTTAGATCTCACCAGATCTCACCACGAGAACAAAAACTCTTTTTTATCTCATCATGAGAATAAGAACTCTTTCACTTTAAACATAAGAACAAGTAGCAAAATATATTAATGCTGACCAATTTATCAGATAATTTGAATTTTCAATGATATCTTTATATGTGCAGTAGTTTATATGATAATATTATATCTTGAAACAATATTACACTGTTAAATGAATCAAATATAATTTGTATTTGTTGACCTAGTTTTGAGTAATTTTCTCTACTAAGCGATTTTATTGCATGAGATAGAATATTTCAAGAGCTCACGTGTCTTTTGAAGCAATATTTGTATAAGCTGTATATATTAAATTAAAACTACGAGAGATTCATTGTTTACCGTGGGATACCAATTTTCTTGGATTTCTAGGTGTAGGTAAACCTCACTTTAAGGATGTACTTAGGTCAGGTTTAGGAATTTTTTGTCAGATGTTCAGACTCCTTGGTTTTTTTCCAACGATACAGGGTTAAATATTTTGCCCCATAAGACCTATTTTTCTTTTCATATAAGACTTCAATAGCTCATAAAAGGTCATTTACCAAAATTTAAGCAGATTCTAGATTTCTTTTCTTTTGATTTGAGACCAAAATAATACCAATGCAAATATAAGGTAAAAGTCTGAGTCAGCCTTTCCCCGCTATTTTTTAAAAATTAAATATCTCAAAAAGGAGCTCCATAACCTATCAATATTTTTAGCTTATTTTGTTCCTTAACTTATGCTCTTCTGACTTATAGTATCAATTTTGAATTCTAGATTTTTTAAATTTCACCTAGTACATCCTTAAATGTTCAAAAAACTACAATTTTACTGTGTATGCAGATGTTGACAAAACCACAAAATCAAATATTCGGGAAAAAACATTTTTTTCCTCAATCAACGAAAATTGGTATCCATGAAAATAATTGGAATCTACAGTATGCATTAAAAATGAATATTTAAATTCTGACAGATATTTTTTTCAATAGGATATGCTGATGTTGTTGTTTAAGTTTACTCTTAAGTTTATCTACCATATAAAATAAATTGCATAAAAAAAGAAAATGAAAATGTTCTCTTTAACAATAATATCATTCATTGAAATAGGAGTTTGTATCAATTGTCAATGCATAAATTTTTAAACTGCTCTTCTCTCAGTTTCCATCAGAAAATAATTCCATTGTTCAAGTTATAAATTATCTGTTATTTGAAGCCCATTGAATATCCAATATGGAGTTATTGAGGTCCATACAATGCATGAACAGATCCAGCACCTTGAAGGACATTCATTGTAAAGTCTTGGACCCTCTTGCTATTAGACTTTTAGTTTTGCATTAGTTTTTAAAGTGAACTACTAGGATTTTTACATGTACCACCTGTAGTTATATTTCTTTGATGCTGATATATGCTTTTCCTTACTGTTAATTAATTTTTGTTAATCAATATGTGGTTCGCTTGATCTCTGTTTTTCATTGGTTGAAATCCAATTATGACATCAAATATTTTCTTGATATTTACATGATTTTTAATTGTGACATCACAAAAATAGGTGACTACCTGATGAGTCTCACAGAAAGATCCTTTTTGCAGATCATTGAAAATGTAAGATAAAGTATGGAGATTCTCTAATTTTTGTGCTATTTTCACATTTCTTGATAGGTGTGAGAAAAATATTTCTCCTCACTAGTCAAATATCTGTTCTAGGCAAATGATTGGTCGAAATTTAATTATGACATCAAATTTTCTTTGTTTCTTCTGAATTTCCCATTGTGACATCATGAAAAAAGGCGACCATGCCTGATGACGTCACATATAAAGAACACAAATTTCTGCAAATCTTTGAAAAGGAAGGATAAAAATCATTAGAGAAAAAAATTCCACCACTATAATTCGTGTATTACGATATTTCTTCACTCTCAACAGTTAAATTTTAATTATTTAAAAAGCTTGGCAAGCCTCGTGCTTTAATTTAAAGCACGAGGCTTGCCAAGCTTTTTAAATAATTAAAATTTAACTGTTGAGAGTGGAGAAATATCGTAACACACTTGTTGCAGTGCTGGAATCTATATTTCCACCATCCTTTCTCCTGCTTTAAGATATTTTTCCACTCTTGACAGTAAATTTAAAGTAACTAGAAAGATTGGCAAGCCACACAATTTAAATTTGAAAAATTAACTGTATCGAGTGGAGAAATAGCTAATCACGCTATAAGAATCTATATTTCTACTTGAAGACACAGCAAATAAAGCTCAGTGTAATCTCAGGCTTCATAATAAACTTTGGATTCCACAAGTTCCAAGTTCAATTTTACAAAATATCTAACGTCGGATTTATTGATTAATTGATTTGTGTTTAACGCCACTTTAAGCACAATTCTACTATTTTGAGGCGGTCAGTTTCTATTCGTGGAGGAAGCCAAAATGCTGTGAGAGAACCACCGACCTTCGGTTGGAGAGGTTTTATTGTACAGGCCCTACAGCAGCTTTACAAGCCTGTGGTTAAGTGTGTAGATTGTAATTTTTGGTCTAGGTGAACAAATAAATTCAAATTTGTCAAAACACAATGAAACAAACAAAATAACATCAAAAAGATTACATTAAATAACAGCATAAAATATATTCATACATCAAGCATTATTCATATACATATATATATATACATCAAAGTTCATATTCATAATTTAAAAAGTAATTCTTAATGCAATAACATTTAATGAAAGACCAATCATGTATAAAATCAATTTTCAATAATATTTAAAGAAACGTTTTTAATAATGGTTATATGTATATACTTATTAAATTGGGACGGTAAGCATACAAACAATAAAAGTTAGTCACAATTAGTTTATTATTTGTATATTAATTGGGAAATTAAATACAATATTTCACTCTTGTTTGTCTTGCAAACTTAATAATTCTGTAATTTCAACAAATATAAATAATTTTTTTCATCTTGTAAACAAAAACAATTGGTACCAACTTTGACAAGAATTTAACATTTAAAAAAAGCCAACAAGAGTGACATTTTCAGAACTCATTCACTTTGAAAAATCAACAAAAAATGGTCTTGTAAAGCACACTTGAGAAAAAATCTTTAATTTTAACTGGTGAAATTTCATGTATGAATTTGAAAAGCCTCTCATATTTCTGCAAAGTTTATTTATTAGAAAAAATTAAGAATGAATTCTGAATTTGTTCATTTTTCTAACAGAACATGTTAATATATAAACCACACAGTGTGCCTACAAACCCTCACTTGATGTACCCAGGGGTCTCCCTAGCGGCTGATGTTTTAGCTGTATCTTACGATGGATACCAGTGAATTTGTACCTATGGGTGTTTCAAATCTTAAGTTTTTAATTATAATAAACTGTGGATTAACTATTAATTGTGTGATACCAAATTTTGTGGATTTTGTTGGCATAGGTAAACCACAAATATAAATCCTCGACAAAAAACAAAATTTCTATAGCTTTCAGCAAAACCACGAAATCAAATGTCCACGAAACAACTATTTTTCTTCAATCCACAAAAATTGGTATCCACAATAATAAGTGAATCCACAGTAGCTCTTTCTTTCGCAATAACTTGCATGATATACTGTTACTTCAGAAATTTTTGCAATGTTTTTATCATTACGAAAATTTTATTGGGTTTTGCGAAAAATAAAGTCACATTCAAGATTTTTACAGCATTATTTGTTTGCAACATTTCCATCCTGAATTCTCAATAATTAATTTCGCATTTTAGTCCATTGTTCACCAACCTCAAACATTAATGAACACAAAAATTTCTGAATTTGCAGTATATATGTAAATAATTGAAATTTGATTAATACGAAGGTTTTGAAACTAAGCAAATTATAACGGTCACAGCAAGAATTAAACATACAACATAGGAGTAAATAGTTACACAACAGTGTTATTCTACTAGACAAAATACAGCCACAGCAACAAAAATAAGTTTTTAGCTTTGCATAGCTGCATGAAATCTAATTACTAGGGAAAGCTAGAAAACTGTGATTAAAACTTTCACAATCAAATACCAGATACCCAATTTTTATAGATATGCCAAGTTTCATGTTTTGCTAAGCGAAAAACCTATTAATCATTTGGGTAAAAATAATACCCTATGAAGTGCATAACACCATAGGGTGGTAAAGATATTCTGTAGATTCATGGAAACACAGTCAATGGTTTAGGAGGAGTTAAAGAAACATAGTGCTGATGGATGAATAAACAAATAAGCAAAAATACCGGGATCATTAAAAAATTAATAAACATCTCAGCTTCTTTTAGGTGTAAAAACAAATGTCTAAATTTCTTGGTAGAATTTTTTTTAACCAGGACCAAGTTTCAACTGGAACTTAATAGGAAGTAAACCAGGATCGATTAGTGACCTTATTACTGTAAATTCAGAAATTATTGCGATGTTTTTATTATTGTGAAAAATGCGAGAGGGTTATAATCGCAATAATTTAAACTCGCATTTTGAAATTTTTTATATGGATTAAACAGGATTTTGCTCAATATCGCAAAAATTAAAATCGCATTTTAGTCTAAAATGACAGAATCGCAATAATAAATGCACGCAATAATTTCTGAATTTACAGTATAATCTGGAACAATTCCTTAATAAATTTACAAATTGAAAAGGTTGAAAAACTCCAAGCCTTCTGTCGACAGAAGGATGTAATCTTGGAACACTGAGCTGAACTTCCCAATTACTGTGGATTCATTTATTTTCGTGGGTACCAATTTTCGTGGATTAGGGAAAATTTGCATGTTCGTGGATATTTAATTTCGTGGATTTACCGAAAGTCTGCGTACAAGCCTATACAAAATATGTCATTCGTTGAACATTTAATTTCGTGGTTCACTTGTACCCACGAAATCCACGAAAATTAGTATCCAACGAATAATAATGAATCCACAGTACATTTGTACTTCAAACTGCATGAACAGAGCAAGTTTACGATGCATTATTTTTTTCTGTTAATCAACAATAAAACAAACCATTTTTGCAAACATAGTGCAAACATATTAAAGGTGTAACCAATTAACTAAAAATGCATAATGATTTCATTCAACCATGCTATACAACAAAATACAAACAAAGGGAAACAAAGGGTTTCAAAATATTATGCAAATTAGAGACTCGAGGATGCAAAATATTAATTCCAAAAGCAGCTAAATAAAGGATACAAAGAAGCTGATAGGTAATGTGTTATGTACAAACATGCCACCTCCATTACTGAAGCATGCCACCGGCCACCACAATAACATTAGGACTACTCTAATGGTAAAACATTTATGTGTAAATTGATTGTCAAATTGTAATGATGAAATAATCAATCATCTAATATAAGCCATTTTTTTAAAAATATAACTTTGAATAAAAAAAATGGAAATAAAATAATTGGACCATACTAGTATTGGTTACATTTTAAATCTGCTAAGTGTAAGCCTTTATATAATTCTTGTTGAAATAATATTAGCAATCAACTATTTAAATTTATATAATGTTGGCATAAAAAAAAACTAAAAATGTCCAAGCCCTGCAGAAACAACCATCATTAAACGGAGTATACAGTAGTGTATAATACGCATCCCCTCCTACAACCTGTATGTCAATGATAAAAAAAGGGTGCATAATGCATACCCAAATACAGTACTAAATTTTTTTCCTGAATAATTCTTTTTTCATCATTACAATCTGATTACCATTTATACAGTTAAATATTGATGATAGTACACACCCTCTTCACTTGATGATTTCTTTGGGTGACCATAAGGTTGATACTTCAGTTGAACCTTACGATTTATTCCAGAAAAATGGCCGTACCTAAAGATTTTCAAATTGAATATGGTCAAAGTATTCACAGATACCATATTTGAGGTTTAAAGAAATTTATCTAGATCATGAACTTCAATTTCAAATTCCACAAAAACATGGCAGGTATAGTACCCAAAGATATTTATATCAGATATGGTCAAAGTACTGTCAATTCATAATTATTCGTGAACTACCAGTTTTCGTGGCATTTGTGGGTATAGGTAAACCCGGAGTACGAATATTCCAACGAAGTACAAAACTAATTCACTGTATGTTTGTATACAGATTTTGGCAAAACAATGAAATCAATATCCAAGAAACTACTATTTTTCTACAATCCACAGAAATTGGTATCCATGAAAATAAATGAATCCTCAGTACTCATATTTGAGGTTTAATGAAATTAATTGAGATCATGAACTCCAGATTTCAAATTCCAGAATAAAAACAAGGCATACATGTATATAGATTCTTTGTTTGACATAACTCAAGGTACTCTAACTGTAGAGTGCAAGTAAACTGAAATTTAACTATTGAGTATTTATTATTATTCATTGGATACCAATTTTCCTGGATTTCAAGGGGAATGGTACACCATGAATTTAAATATTAATGATTGATTGACTGATTGGTGTTTAATGCCACTTTCAACACTATTGTGCTATTTCGTGGCAGTTAAATTTTAATGAAGTATAAATTCTATATTGGCATACATACAGACTTTTGCAAAACAACAAAATCAAATAACCAAGAAAATAAAATTTTCCCTCGATCCATGAAAATTGATATCCATGAAAAATAAATGCATCCACAGTCTTGTAATTCATTTATATAATAGCAAACAGTGTGGATTTGTTTAAAATCTAAGATTTACATGGGCAGATATAAACAGGAATTGTAAACGAACTGACAGAAGAATACCCCCACTCCTGCAATACTCAAAATATGAAAATATGTCTTTAAAAATATATCAAATAACAAAAAACAAAATGGAGGAAAAACTATACTCTTAAGTAAAAACTATATACTCATTTCTGGAACTGCCCTTACCATCATTTCTTGAAATGCTAATGGCATACTTCTAATCTGTTTAAAATACCTTTTCTCTTATTTCAAATAATTATGTATAAACTTTAAAGGTCTATTACTTATATCTGTACTCTTACATCCTAAATAGATTTGTTGAAGTTGATTGTCGAGATAAATGTATTGAATGTAGCATGGACTAATGTTTTGGCCCCATTTTAATGAGTATTTGCAGTTGAGATACAGATAAGAATGAATTTGATGACATTTTATAAGTCAAATCATAGAGTAATACCTACATTTCTAGTACAAGTTTGAGTTGTTGTAACTTGACCTTTTTCTCTGCTATCTCTGGATCACTGTTAGCATGATGTTCATCTAACAGAAATCTTGCTATGTCCAGTACTTCCTGTAATTGTTTTGGCTTCTTTAGTTTTAAGTGACCTGTCCTGTAGCCATCATACTTTTTAAATAGATCAAAGAACCTATTATGAAAAAACATGAAAAAGTATAAGCAATAGCAGCAATAAATATTACAGTATACTGTAAATTCAGAAATTATTGCCATTTATTATTGCGATTTTGTTATTTGAGACTAAAATGCAATTTTAATTTTTGCGATATTGAGAAAAATCTTGTTTTAATTTATATAAAAAATTTCAAAATGCTAGTTTAAATTATTGCGAATATAACCCTGTCGCATTTTTCGCAATAATAAAAACATCGCAATAATTTCTGAATTTACAGTAAGTAAAATTGTTATACGTAAAGTTTTCCGTCTTTTGTCAGGCAATAGAAACTGATATGATACAATTATAGCCTTTGTATGAGGTTCATACAAGGTTATATCTACCTATGGGAAGCATATCTACCTCCTCTAAGTCGATATAACATTGTATTGACCTCAACTAAAGGCTACAATTGTTATACTATTTATCAACAACTATTGCATGAACAATGTAAAATTGAGGATTTCTAGAATGTATTTTTAGTAACATGCTGTATGCCCTGTACGTGCAATATGCTGTTTCTAACCTATGAAAAGCTAAACACAAAAGTATTGGCGTGCAAACTGAGTAAATACAAATGCACATGTGATCAGGTTTTAACGAATCACAAATCCTTAAAAATATTTGATTAATAACATATTAATATTGTTTAATTGATTTTACATTCTGGCTGATTGTTACGATTTTTAAATCAACATTTGCAAGATTTGTATCTAATATTTATTTACTTTTTTCAAGAAAAGATGTAAACTTAAAAGTCAGGGGCCTTTAATTTCATTGGTTATCATTTGTTGCTGTATATATTTTTTTTTTCATTTATTGTTTTGTACATAAATTGTTTGATTCTCTTGAATTGATTTACATTTTGTCATGTCTGGGCCTTGTATAGCTTACAATATGGTATAAGTTTTGCTCATTGTTGAAGGCAGTACAGTGACCTATAGTTGCTAACTTCTACATCATTTGGTGTCTATTGAAAAGTGTCACATTGGCAATCATACCCCATCTTCTTATTTTTATGTTACTTTTGAGTGTGTTTTTCGTGTTTGATTTGTTTTTAGGATTTGAGGCATGTTTATTACAGTGGTTTCATTGGTAGTCTTTTCATTTTGATTGTTTTTATGCAATCTGTACATGTTGCTCACCTTTTATGTTTAACTTCCATCTTCATTTTCTGTTTAGGAGTTCTGTCACCATGGCGAATAACAGCTACCACACAACGTAGTTCCATCCTAAAATAGTAACATATTTTTATTATCAACTTTTTCTTTTGTTCTTTAAATGATTGAGTTACTCATTGCTTTAGCCCCTTTTCATGTTAGAGATATTCCATTAAAATAAATTTGGGGGAGTAAGAAGTGAAATTTTAAAACTTAAATGGACTCAGACGACAAAGGCATTTTTACTTAAAGTGACTCAAATTAAGTACAAGCTTTAACTTACAAATACATGTACACTTAAACAGTCTCTGATGTGATAATCACTTTAATATTAACTCGCACGGACCCTGATGTGGTAAGCACTTCTACTTACATGGACCCTGATGTTATAAGCCTGTTTACTTACAAGGAGCCTGATGTGAGTGTTTTTACTTAAATGGACCCTGATGTTGTGAGTGTTTTTACTTACATAGACCCTGATGTTGTGAGGTTTTTTTCTTACATGAAACCTGATGTTGTGTTTTTACTTACATGGACCCTGATGTTGTGAGGCTTTTTATTTACATGGAGCCTGGTGTTGTGAGTGTTTTTACTTACATGGACCCTAATGTTGTGAGTTATTTTACCTACATGGACCCTGATGTTGTGTTTTTACTTACATGGACCCTGATTTTGTGAGTGTTTTTACTTACATGGACCCTGATGTCGTGAGGCTTTTTACCTACATGGACCCTGATGTTGCAAGTGTTTTTACTTACATGGACCCTGATATTGTGAGCCTTTTTACTTAAATGGACCCTGATGTTGTTAGCCTTTTTACTTACATGGAATATAATGTTGTAGGCACCACTGGTTGTTTTTACTTACATGGGCCCTGATGTTGTAGGCCTTATTACTTAAATGGGCCCTGATGTTGTAGGCCTTATTACTTACATGGACCCTGATGTTGTAGGCACTACTGGTATATCTTCTGGTGCTGAACCTAGAACCCATGGTATATGTAACTGTGGAGCTTTAGCTCTCATTATCATAGTTCTGAAATATTTTAAAATAATGTAAACATGCCATATTATTCATTGGAAGTAAAATACTTACTCTTAATCTGTTTAATATAAACACTTGATCAATGTGTTCAGGATTCAGTAGAAATATGTTATATAGCTAGAGAATTATGTGTTAACCTTTGAGTAGAAGATGCAGTATCGAAGTAAATTTGTGTATCCTTAGCTTATCAAATAGATTGGACATTGCTTCTGTCTATGAAAATTTAGACCCCTTAATAAAACATCAAAGCTTTTCTTTTTGTTATTGGGTTGCTTTCTTATCAACATATACCTCATATCACTTTTTATTCATAACTAACAAAAACAATTTTTGACATTAGCTATTCACTTGTTTTTCAATTTTAAGGACAAGTCAATTTTTATTTGTGTGGCTGTATTTTACTTACCCTAAGATTTTGGCACAATCATCATAATATTTAGTTGAGTTCTTGACAAAACTAAAACCATTGACATCACAGACATAAGACTGGCCATTAGCTCTCAGTAAGTCAAATCCACATACATTTTGCTGCAAATATTATGTACATGTTAAGGCCAAACATAAAATTTAGATTGTTTGATATTGCCTACCTACCCACCTAAAAAGCAGCCTACCCGAAAAAAATTTATGACACAAAATTGTTTAGATTTTTTTTAAAGGTTTTTCCGTGTTCTTACGTCATTTTCTTGTCTAAAACATGTAGTTTATGTTATTTGCCAAAAAAAAAAAATCCCTACCTACCTACCCAACCCTAAAAGGCATGGGAAGGCAACATCAAACAAAGAGTTTGTTAACAATGGTCTAATGTGTTTACAAAAACATATATACTTACATTTACTAGATATGGTTACTTGTGTATATATATACTTGCAGTGTTCTCCCCCAGGAATTTTCGACGGCACTGTGGTAACTGCATTTTACCCCCTATGTTCTATTTTTGGCAACAGTGGCTCTGTTTGTTGATGGGTCAGATCCCGGGATACAATTTTTAAACTAGATACCCTAAGGAACATTCAGGTAAAGTTTAATAACATTTGGCCCAATAATTTCGAGAAGACTATTTTTTCAAAAGTTTACTATGATGGGCGGACAAGGGACAACGAAAGCCAAGTGATTGTAATAGCTCACATGGCCTTTAAGCCAGGTAAGTTAAAGATAATCAACCAAATTGGGTAAGAATTAGAGAAAGTACTTCACTTACTTTAAAGGCAAGACAGACTTTCCTGGCAAGTAGTTTATCTTTGGCACTAAGTAAGACAGGATAACGAATTTCTTTACCACTCTTATCCCTCTCTACCTTCCCGTCTAATGCTGGAGATTTCCTGGCCTCAGCATGAGCATAATCTGGGCCAACTGTATACACCTGTCAGAGGAAAACAGTCAAAATTATCTGGAGAGAATTTACATTCAATAGTAAATAAACTAATCATTGATACCAGGCTTAAAATCTTATACGCCAGACACTCTTTTTGTCCACAAAAGACATCAGTGATACTTGCATCAAAAAATTTTAAAAGGCAAAATAAAGTACTAAGTTGAAGAGCATTGAAGACCCAAAATTCTGAAAGGTAAATTAAGGTGACAGTAGTCTACCAATGTTCAAATCTCATAAATCAATTAAAAGTAGATACAAATCAAGGTAACAAACAAAACTAAGGGAATCACATTAACTCCATAAGTAAGTCATAGCAAGTTATATATATGTGAAAAGATTTGAAAAATTAATCGATAATGCATCAGTGTATATAGTCTGTGACATTTTAAAGTATCTGGATCATAATAATAAATGCAGTCAAATATATATTTATCATATACTTAGAGTAAATAACTTATAATTTTTACAGTATGATAATAGCATTAAATTTACGTGAATTCAATATTTCCCGAATTGGTGCTTAGCAGGTTGATAAGAAAAATTTATCAACTGCTTCCAGCTATTATTGCATGCTCTTCCTTCATGTTATCTCATGGCATTCAGGCGTTACTTAGCAAATTCCGGAAAATACACCTTAAAGGTATGTTTTCAGTGAAAAACATAACAAAGTAGGGTACAAAACAAATATTGGGAAATAGGAAAATATATTATGTAAAATGCAAAACAAATGATACAATAAATGCATTTTTCAAAGTTTCCAGCATAATTTAGCATGTTACTTTACAAATGTTGACTTTTCCAAACAGTGTTTATTTTGTTTTGATAATTTTTTTTTATCGTGAATATAAAAATATATTATACTGTTGTTTTTCTCCTCTGTTGAGGCATATGATAGAAAGATTTTATATCTGATGTATTACATTTGGCGTCCGACCTCCGTAAACTTTTCACTTTTTGAACTTCTACTTGAGAACCACTTAAAAGGATCAATATTTTAAACTGTTATTTTTCTCCATTGTTAAAGCATATGATAAAAAGATCATAACATGTCATTTTTCATATCAGATGTATTATCAGCCCTCGAGCCTTTGGCTCTTAGGCTGATAATACATCTGATATGAAAAATGCCATGTAATAATCAGATAATATAAATATATCAGTTACCATCATGACAGTCTTCACGCTTAACCACAAGACCAACAGCCCAGGCTTGTAAAATTGCTTTCGGGCTTGTAAAATTCTTCTCTACAAGCCAACACAATCCAACTAAAATTTTCATAAAATTGAGCTGCGGGCTTGTGGATTCAAAAGTTTATTGTGAACACTGTCATGATATAGCTACTAGTGCAGAAAGTGGCGTTAAATACCAACAATCATTCAATATTAATCATACAAATAATTATGTCCATACCTTGACATCAGTTCCATCAGTAGGCATAAATTCTTCATAGATATAAGATCCTGAGTTCCGTAAGTAACTACAGTTAGAGTATATACTACTTCTTGACCCGATCTATGAAGAAATAAGTTAACAATGTTCATTGGGCCAATTAAAATCAATTGATAGATTTTCATCCCTGCCCGCCCTTTCATTTTAAAATCTGAAAAAGTATGCAGAATTTTTTATATATACATGATATAAGCTTATAATTAACCTTGCATATCAAGAACAAATTACAAAAGGGTTTCAGAGGGAAAATAAATAAATAAAATCCTCCAACCCGCCCCATTTTTTTCAAAATGGATGAAAGTCTACAAATTAATTTTAGTTGGCCTAAGTGCCTTTTAACTTCAGTAAATACCATATAAACTTTGTACATTTTCATTTTAGTGCACACATTTCTACTTTTACAACCCAATAAAAAGTATCACTTTATTCTTCAAAATCACATAGAAATGTTGTCTCATGTACATTACCATTATTATAAGTTCTATCAAAGGAATTGTGGGTAATTTTATAGTTCCTGATAATGTTATTCCATTGGTTTTATATTTATAAAATATCAATTGTTCTTCAAACGAGAGGGAGTGTGTTGGCTACAATCTCACCAAAGGGTGACAGCCCTGAGATGAGATGAAGGTGTTGGACCACCAATTCACTCACTCCAATTTAGAACGTATGTAAAAGTAGCCCTTCTCTGACAACAAATAGTGCTTTTGATGTAGTTATTTACTTAAACTAACCAAAAAAATTGAAGAAATGAAACTCCATAGTATACTTAAGATTTCCAGAAAACCAAGGGTTATTCTTAGCAGTACTTGTCTTCCGAACTTTAGTATTTTCTTACAAGACTTTAAACATAGGTTGTAAATTGGCATGTAGAAAGATGATACATGTATAATTCAGTATATACCTGGTTTCTATGAAGTAAAACTTAAGGTAAAATATTTAGAAAGCTGTGAAATTTGCAAGGCAATGTCAATGATGTAGGCTTATGAGGTCATGCATGCTATTTTTACTCTACTAAGAAAATCCCAATGGCACTTAAGTAGGATGGTATGGAAAATTATCAACAAAAAAAAAGATCAGAGGAAAATTTGAGCAAATAGCAATAATTATTGTTAACTAATATCAAAATTAAGGTTTAAAATTTGTAATTATTACTCAATATGCAATTGCATAAGATTTGAAACAAAGAATTCTACCTGACCTTTTTTATCAACAAAATTTGTAATGGTAGTCCTTCAAAAAAGGGTGACCCTTAGCAGACATATTCTCCTTAAGATCATGTTGCAAAGCTATTATATCAGTTTCATATGATATTCACCCCATCTTGAAATTATTACGTAACACATATCAGTTCTCATTGGTTTCCTTCTCATGTGGCTAGAATGAGATACCAAATTGTGAACATGTCCCAGATTGAAGAAGATAAATTTTAAAAAAGAAAAAAATAGTATGGGTATTCAAGTTTTAGTAGGAAGTGTTCATAGACAAACTACGGTTAACCATAACAAATTCCATCTAAGACAGGCTTATAATACCACACTTATGAGTATATATACACAAAGGAGATAAATAACACTTTTACTAAGACAACCACACAATCTACAACTTATTTAAAAGAATGATACAGCAAAGCACTCCAAAGCTTTTTAGAAAGCTAAAACTTGTAAATTAATGTTGTTACCTTCCTAAACAACCTCTGACTGCCTCCTCCAGCTGCAGCAGGGAAGTAGATGTAGACATTATGGTCCTCAGCTGATACTGGTTTCTCTACAAATGGTTTATGGAAAACTTGGTTCTCAATCTCTATAGCATCTTCATTGTCAGTGATTGTATCTATATAGCAAATAAACATCTATTTTATACATGTTATAATAATTTTAATTCCTGGGCTAACAAGAACGTGGCAAAAAACTATGAAAGGACACAACAGTTTACAAAACACTCCATAGAAAACAGTGATTGTATCAATTCCTGGTCTAACAATAAAATGGCAAAAAACTATGAAAAGACTAACCCGATTAATTCAGTCGTTATATTCCACTGCTCTATGATGGCTACATTAATACCTGAAGGTTTAGTCAATAAAAAATCATCAAGCAATCTTTTGTAATTAGCTCAGGATTAACCTATCTCGATAACATTAAGCCATTAGCTGATTGGCTCTCTTTCACAGAGTGCACCAATCAAAATCCTGGATTCGGGACACAGTTTTTAATCATATAAAGAGTTAAGGCCCTCAGGAGTGGGACAGTCAATCACAGGGAGGGCTGAATTAACGGGTAATGAAAAGACATAACAATTCACCAAACACTCCATAGAAAAGTAGACTGAGCAACACAAAGCCCAAAAAACTGGGGATCATCTCAGGTGCTCAGGAAGTCTTAAAAGATCCTGTTCCTCATGTGGTAATTGTTGTGTTGCTCAAGGTAAATACTAAATCAGTGACTTATTATAAGTAAATGTAAATATGCCAAACTTCATCTTCTTTTATAAGTAGTTATACAATTACATCAACGAGGTTAAAATATTTCAAAACAAAGGGCTATTAAGTTGTCTAAAAAAGGTTAAATGGGAAAAAAAGTACAGGTGAAAAAAATAATTGTTTTACCATGTTAACAGTCTGGTTGAGTTTAACACGTTTATTGTTTTGTACAGAAATAAGGCCATACTTTTCTCATTTGAATTGATTTACATTTGTCCTTTCAGGGCCTTTTATAGCTTACTATGTGGTATTTGATTTTTTCATTGTTGAGGGCCGTACAGTGACTTATAGTTGTTAACCTTCTACATCATTTGGTCTCTGGTGGAGATTTGTCTCAAGAACCAACATAAAACTAGATCCTTACAAAATATCAAAAGGTACCAAACCTCAAATGTACACATTTTGAACCCTTTTACCATTGATCATGATGAGCAAAAGACCAGTGATCAGTTTTAATTTGCCCTAAAGTTGATCGTAAGTCATGAACAATTTAGTATACTAAGGATCAACTTTAGTCGTAATATTTTTTGTGAAACTGATCACAGGTCTTTTAAACCTTTTTTGGACTAAAATGATTAACTCAGTAAAAAAACAACATAAAACTAGATCCTAATAGCATATCAAATAAATGGAAAACGTGTTCATGGGACACAGATGATGCCCCTGCTTGCATATAAAGTTACAAAGGGACATAACTAGAGAACTGTAAAAGTGACGCCACCCAAATTCAAACTTGATCTGTGTTTTATGGTAATATGCATTGTTAAATTGTGTACATGTGTATAAGTTTCATAACATTTGGTAAAGACAAAAACCAATTTTGGGACGTACATACGTATGCACAAGGGTAACACTTAATGCAACCTTAGCCTAGCGATGGGAGCATAATAAGTACCAGACATTAAATGTATACAAATAAGAAGATGTGGTATGATTACAAATGAGACAATTCTCCACCAGAGACCAAATGACATAGAATAGGCATTTGTTAAAAGTTTTACCATTATTCTGTCTTCATGATTAGTGCCAATCAGTAAAAATGCATCCAGGCCAGAATAATTTTCCCAAAAAGGAGACTTCACAAGCCAAATCTTTGTAAAGGAAATTTCATGAAAGTCTGATTTTTGAGCTTGCAAGTAAATTTTGTGAAGACAAATGTTATTTGAAGAACTTACAAGATGTAGATAATGGCCCTTTGTCTCTATTGAGAACAGAGTATCTTGGATGAGGTATACCATGCTTCATCAGAGTCTTGTAGACCTCTCTTCTATCTAGTAAAGTGTATTGTGATTCTAGATCATTTACAACAAATGGCTTCCTTAGGTTTGTGTATGCAATAGCTTTATCTAAAGGAAATCCTGGAATTATAAAAACAATGAGCAGCTAAAATCATTACATATAAACAGTCCAAGATCCAGAAATTTGTCAATGAAAGTTCTAGAGGGTTTGAGATTAGTTTTGTTGATTTTCATGTAATCTAAAAAAGAAATAGTCAATTCCAACCCCCTGAACTCAGCCTCTAAATCTGCCAATGATAAACTGTTTCCATCATCTTTTAAAATTTTTTGGGAGAAAATACTGGAATGCATGACTGTTTAATCAAGAGGTAAATATTTAAGGGTCACTTTTCAAGGTCAAATATCAAGGAAATGCCTTTACCAAGTCAGGAATATAATGGTTGTTTTCCATTCGTTAGATGTGTTTGAGCTTTTGATTTTGCTGTTTTATAAAGGACTTTCTGTTTTGAATTTCCCTTGGAATTTGGTATTTTTGTAATTTTACTTTTCACTGCCATCTTATAAATTAACTAGTTTTTTTAACACTCTCAGTTTCATTGTACATGTACATCACAATATTTTTGAGTAAATATAAAAATCGATCATTAAAATAGGACACTTAACCTATGCTTATGATGGTCCTTTGAGCATGACAAATGTATTCCCCAATAAATTGTTTACCACTACAGTCAACTCCACTTAATGGCATATCGCTTGATTACATAATTCTGTTAATTGCATAATTTTCTCCTGCAGAAAACCTATCCATCTAACACATGCCTAATGTTAAAAAAAACTGTTTATTTGCATAGCCTGACAAGTGGTCTTTCAGTTAATTGCATAGAAAAAAATCGCCAGCTAGATATGCTTAGTTAAATGTTCAATATATTCCTAAAAAATACTTGATTATCAGTGATATAAATATTTAAACCTACCTGCAGAAAAGAAAGAGATGAGTACATCAACAATTGGCCATTCATCTACAGGATTATGGAGGATAACATCCTCATCAAATAACAGTGTGTTCAGCTGCATGTGTTTATGGAGTCGAGTGAGGATTTCATTCATTGGCTTAGAGTTGGATTTCTTACTCATAGCACAGATTCCAACAGTTATCTTTTTCATTTCATCTAGATAGTGTTCCTTTAAAATAAAAATAACAAGTAAGGGAAAGACCATTTAACTTCAAGAGGGGGGGGGGGGGGAGGGGGGGGCTATGGTTTTTTCCTAAAAAAATATTCAGATCCCCAATTTGATGAAAAAAAATATTTGTGATGACAAAAAAAAAAATTCTGAATCCAGATTTTCTCCATACCTCATTTGTACCTTATAGTGTTAAATTTTGAAAAAAAATAATTTGATTGATAGCATCGAAAAACTAAAAAAAAATGTTCGCGCTTTGTGGGAAAAAATTTTCTGACTCATACAAAAACCATAACCCCCTCCTTGAAGTTAAATGGTTGCTTCCTAATAAAGCTGCAAGTCAAGCAGTGCCTGATTATTGATAGACATTGTATTTACCATATCCCCTGTGGCGCAACATGCGAAACAATAAAGATATAGCACATGATGAACTTTAAAGTTTTAGCTTACCAACATGTGACCAAAAGCATTGAACATATGTCTATAGTATCATACTCCGGTGCAGATATGCCATATGGAAGATGACAGTCTAATATTAAATGTCTGTCAACTCTATGGGTAATAAAAAAGGTAATCTGTAAGAAAATGACTTTTTATTACACACAGAGTATTCTTTTTATTACAGTTGAGCTACTATATATGATCTCAACACTATGTGCAATAAAAACGTTGTGTATAATAATTACTACACATAGCTTGAGACTCTACATAATTACTACACATAGCTTGAGACTCTACATAATTACTACACATAGCTTGAGACTCTACATAATTACTACACATAGCTTGAGACTCTACATAATAACTACACATAGCCTGAGACTCTACATAATAACTACACATAGCCTGAGACTCTACATAATTACTACACATAGCTTGAGACTCAACATAGTAACTACACATAGCTTGAGACGCTACATAATAACTACACATAGCTTGAGACGCTACATAATAACTACACATAGCTTGAGACTCTACATAATTACTACACATAGCTTGAGACTTTACATAATAACTACACATAGCTTGAGACTCTACATAATTACTACACATAGCTTGAGACTTGAGACTCTACATAATTACTACACATAGCTTGAGACTCTACATAATTACTACACATAGCTTGAGACTCTACATAATTACTACACATAGCTTGAGACTCTACATAATAACTACACATAGCCTGAGACTCTACATAATTACTACACATAGCTTGAGACTCTACATAATTACTACACATAGCCTGAGATGCTACATAATAACTACACATAGCCTGAGACTCTACATAATTACTACACATAGCTTGAGACTCTACATAATAACTACACATAGCTTGAGACGCTACATAATAACTACACATAGCTTGAGACTCTACATAATTACTACACACAGCTTGAGACTTTACATAATAACTACACATAGCTTGAGATTCTACATAATAACTACACATTATTATTAAGCTTGAGATTCTACATAATTACTTCACATAGATTGAGACTCTACATAATAACTACACATAGCTTGAGACTCTACATAATTACTACACATAGCTTGAGACTCTACATAATTACTTCACATAGATTGAGACTCTACATAATTACTACACATAGCTTGAGACGCTTCATATCATGCCTTTAATTGCAATGCCTAATATTCTGCTACTTGTTATTCTTTTTTTTTTTCGTAAGTTTTCTTAAATCAAAAGTCAAACATATTAAATTCTAGGCTTTTACATATAACTCATTAAAGGTCATAGTGGCTGTTTTCTAGAAAAATCAATTAATTTTCACTACTGATTATAATAACCGATGAGAAGAAGACCGTCAACAATGTTTTCTAGGCTACTAGTAGGGAATACTTATAAAAACTTGTATGCATGCTTTGTCTGTACTAGTAACATATAAATTTATGCCATTTTAGTATTTTCCAATATGATTTAAATACAAATCCTGTGTCCACGCTTTGCTTAGAAGGATTTGAAAACAATCCTTTCTACATTCTGTTTTAAAGACCTTTCGGAATCCTCTAGTTTTGTCAGACTCCTATAGCTAATGATACACACCTTCAACAAAAATTTGAAGGCGGACATTTCATTATGGCTGCTGTTATTATTTCCAGAACAGAACGTAGAAGAAAGTGTTGTCCTTGCTTGGACACAGACTCTGTACTTCAATCAGATTGATTATTTTCCTGACTTTTGAGATAGTTGGACAACAGGCAACACATCATGGGATACACTATAATGTACATTTGTAATACTCAATCTTCTTACATTGTCAACTTACATTCTGAGTAGTCCTGGCTTGATTAGGATATCTTCCCCATAAAGATGTCTACTTATAATATATATTCCGAGGAAGTCCTGGCTTGACTAGGATATCTTCCCCCATAAAGAAGTCTACTTACATTCTGAGGAAGTCCTGGCTTGACTAGGATATCTTTCCCCATAAAGAAGTCTACTTACATTCAGAGGAAGTCCTGGTTTGACTAGGATATCTTCCCCCATTAAGAAGTCTACTTACATTCTGAGGAAGTCCTGGCTTGACTAGGATATCTTTCCCCATAAAGAAGTCTACTTACATTCTGAGGAAGTCCTGGCTTGACTAGGATATCTTCCCCCATAAACATGATAAAGAAGTCTATTTATAATATATATATTATATTCTAAGGAAGTCCTGGCTTGACTAGGATATCTTCCCCCATAAAGAAGTCTACTTACATTCTGAGGAAGTCCTGGCTTGACTAGGATATCTTCCCCCATAAAGAAGACAGGTCTGACATCCTCCACAGGAGATGCGTCTGCTTTTTCATTGACATCCATGTTCTCCCAACCTTCTGCCGTTTAAATTTTCACCATTTCGCTCCGTTTGCCATAATATCTTTCACAGTGATTTTAATTTTGTCCTTCTTTAATGAATTCAGGAACCTGTAATGAAAATATTATAAGCACTAGAAAAACTTACGGCTCCAAGGAACCTGAATTCCTAACCTGGCATAACAGACACTTTTAATTAAGAAAGTCATTCATTTCAGTCAGGGTTCTCACTAAGGATTTTTAAGGCAGTTCAGGGAATCATCATGATCACCTTTTGGCCATGGCGAGTCCATACATTGCCATAAGGGAATTTATTATTTCACTTTGCATGACAAAATACAGTAAAGAAATGACATTAGATTTATATTATTTTTAAAATTATGAAAAAGTGTGCTCTGTTGATAAAACATTTTAAAATCTTGATGCATCTTTGGACTCACAAGTTTTGAAAATGATGAATCCAGACAGATTTCATGAGTCCAGGACTCATGGACATGCCTTAAGTGAAAGCCCTGCAATAAAATTAGTAAATATATTCAAATATTTTTTTTGTCTCATTTCCCTTCATCTCTGGATCTAAACAATTCAAATCCTTAATAAAATGTGTTAACTACTGTTAGCAGTCTTTCATGCTTCATAAACCACAGGCCCAGCAACCCAGGCTTGTAAAATTGCTTTCAGGCCTCTAAAATCATCACTACAGGCTAACAGAATCTAACTAAAATTTTCCAAAAATTGACCTCCCTGCCTGTAGATTTAAAAGTGTATTGTGACGACTGCTGTTAGGAGATTTATCACTCTTCAAGGATTGAAGTAATCAGACAATTTCCACCTACATTGTAATGAAGATCTTGATGCACTGATGATTTTACCCATTTAAGGTGGATCATCACTATTTATTTTCTCAGACATGTCAGATAGAATTTTCTTATACAAGTTTTGACAAAATGTAGATTTTACCATGCTTTTTTCAAAACTATAATAAAAGTAAGGGCTAAGTACTGCACATGCATGAAAACCAGCATCCATGAAAAGGTTGCAAAACTTACAAGCATTTCTACTTTCATTATAGAACTGGGTCAAAATACGAAAAGATAAGCAGTGTAACCATATTTCTCATGCTATTCTCCAATAAAGGGTATCAGACTATTTGCAAATAAGTAAAGAAAAGTTACATGCACCATACATGTGATGGACTGTGAAACTCAGATCAGGAGGTTGGGAAATTTTGGTCAGGAGTTTAGGCCTCAGATCAGGAGGTTTTTTATCGACATACATTTTGTCGTAAATGTAACCGTCTGATGTAAAAATTGTCTTTTAAAGTGGTTTTTCTTCAATCTTTTATCTGAATGTAATGTGTTTACAGTACCCTTGTAGCCTTTCTGTTTGAATGATATCACTTGGGCCTAAAATAAAATATTGTTTGTTTCCCCAACCCCGACCGACCCTGCAAAATTGGTCCTAATCATAAAATTTTATTGTCAAAACTTAGTCAAAGTTTATTTTATTCATTTCCGATTTTCAGGGTTGCCGGATCATCCGAAAATGTTCAAGCTTTATGGAAAAATAAAATTATTTCCCTACCTACCTACCTACCCACACCTGCTTGGCAGGGTCGGGATTGGGGAAACAAACAATATATTAATTTAGGCCTTGAAAGAAATATTGAGAAGTTTCTGTTTCATGCTTTGTTTTTGATTGTTGACTGCTCGTAAATAAAGTACATATACCATGTATACTCACTAATGATTACTTTTTCTATGAGTACTAAGAGAAAATTAAAGTATAGTATAGTGTTTTATTCATGCCTCCATCTTTTTCATTTGTATTCAATGTCATTGGTATAGATATATATGAAAGAAATATGCCATACATTTATAAAATGATAAATAGATGAAAAATTAACAAACAATAACAATTGTTAGGCATGGTTTTTAAGCATTAAGAAATTCATTTTGCTAGAAAACTTAAGACTCATTGTTTCATAAACTGTAAAATATATTAGCTAAAACACTGTCTATATATATTGCATTGACAAATGTTATTCAAAAACTGAAGCACTGGTCTTGGAAAACTGGGTCAGGTAAGAAGAACAAGCTGACTTGGCTGCTTTAATACACTTGACTCTGTACTAAAGTTATCCTGATCCTGGTTACAGTTTGTGTTGTTGTTGATCTTCAGAAGGTCCGTTAATGTCCACATCGGAATGTGAAATAGCTAGTTTTTCTTCGCCGAGTTGAAAGTTTATTAAAAGTCTTTTAGGCATGTTAGGCATCAAAACCTTCCGATAGATTTTTAGACAACAATATTCCACTTTTGGCTTATGCCATAGACAGAAGCCATATCAAGTAATTAATATCCTATAACCTGTTATTGATCAATCAAACTATTATCACTTGTTAATTAGCCATCAGCCCGGTCAAAATCTACACATGTTGGGTAATCAGGTAATGTCAGTCATGTCAGTTACATCGGATACGTGCGATACACTCACATTTTTAAGTTTTCAATGATAAACATTTGTAAACAGTGTAGTAAAAATTGGTGCCTGAAAATTTTCATTCATAAATTTTTATACACTGGATTTTTATCTCTTCAACAGGAGGACGGGAGGAGACCCCTGAAAAAAGGATTATTGTACTCTCGTCGGGAGGTTCACATGTATGATGCACAGTGAAGAAATTTTACTTCTAGGTTGTGATTGTTTTCCTTCGTTTTGAGTTAGGGTAAAAACTTCCAATCATCAAGGATACACTTTATTGTTACATGTATTTGTCAGCCATTATTGGACATCACAAACTTTCCCTTAAATTCTGACATCACAAAAGTAAATGTCAGACACCACAATGAAAAAGTGATACTGTAAATTCAGAAATTATTGTGAGGTTTTTATTATTGCCAATAATGTGACTGCGTGATAATCACAATAATAAGAACTCGCATTCTGATATCTAATACAAATAAGTGTATGCAGATTTTCCCGAAATCGCAATAATAAATTTGCATTTTTGTCCTTTCTTCAAAAATCGCAATAACAAATGCACGCAATAATAATTTCTGAATTTACAGTTCTGACTTTGATCACTATGATTGTTGTATGATGTCACAGAATCACAACTTGTAACAATGATTTTCCTATATAAAGGCCAAACAAAAATGTGTGGTTCCAGTTACATCCTGAAAAAAATAGGGTCGGTAGGTCAGTATTTTTTTTTTGGTCAAAATTCCAGAAAAAAATATGTGTTCACCGAGTCCGATTCCGGTAAAGGCCACTTCACAATTAGTGCAGCCATGTTGAAAAGGGGACAGATTTTCAAAATGGAGGTAAAAATGGTTTGAAAAATACGGGAAAACATCATTAAAACAGAACAGTAGCTCGGAAACTAAACTGGCATCCTCTTGTTTTATGCTATACTCAAACAACTGGTACGGCCCAATCTTGTAGGGAAAAATTTTGCCCAGGAGATTTTAACGAGATCTGACAGTACTTTGTTTAATAGCAATGTACAATATCAAAAAATGTAAACAAACATAGCAATTTGTTTTTTGTTGCATAAAGCATAAAATTAATGTGTAAATTAAATTCCTATTCTAAATTTAAATAAACTAATGCATTACAAAAAGAAAATAGATATTGAAAAAGGCATCAATTTGAAATCAAATAAAATTCTGCTAAACTCCAAGAATGATTTGGGCACATGAACCTCATGGTAAACGTGACATCATACAAAATGAAAACTCCGAACTGAAGGCTATTACGACATGTCCACTGTGGATTTGACAGTAAATTTTAGAAAATGAAAAAATTATTCCATAAATTTGTTCAACTCATGTTAATTACACCATTTTATTTATCAAAGAGACAATCAACATCTTTAAAACAAAAGAGTTCTTTACAGAGTCACTAGAGTTATCTTTCTTGGTAACTACGCAAATATGTTAATGCGTGTGGAATGAATAATTTTTCCTTTTGGGATAAATTTTCTTCTGTCAGTTCTGCCATTCATGCGTCCATAGTCATTATCGTAAGAATTCAGATTTCGGTCATAGCTGCTCTGTTTCCGATGAATCCTGACTCTGATTCGTAGTTGTACAATAACTTCAATGGCAGATGAAGAAATTTTACAAATTTACAAAAATAAACGATGTTTGACACGCTATTTGGAAAGGAATATGACGTTTTTAATGCAGTATATGGATAACAAATTAACTTCAGGCAAATTTTATCATGTTCTAATGAAGTAACAAACTTATTTTGCCGAAAGTTAGAATGATTTGATGTACGCTCTCGAGTAACAAGTACCGGAAATGATAAAAAAATTGTCTTAATGAAAATAACATGCAACCAACTTTAAAATCAATGCTTTAACCATGTTAACCTCTTTTCTAAAGAAAATAAATCGTTTATGTCTTTGAATTCCTTTACTTTTAAATGAAAAATTGCTGTTTCATCGACTTGGTAAATATTAAATATTGCCAATGACGAAAGCGACTGAACAACAGGGCGACTAGATTTCGCTTTTGAGAGTCAGGCAAAAGCGAAGTGACAGACTGGAAGCGACTTTGTGGCCCCAGTCGCCTGCTAACGTGAGCCCTGTGCGATAACATTTCTTAATTTGTAGCATAAAATAAAATTTCATGTTTACAATGGGAATTACAGTACAATACACATGATCTGATTGGATGATGGAAAAAGTCTCATGACTAATTAGATTTTAAAATAGATCAGATCTCACCGGCTGTCTATGATTAAAAGTGTAGTAGTCAGAAGAGAACCAGCTTACTTGGAAACATGCATAGGATTTCCCTTACTTTCATCATTGTTCATACTATTTCCACCTCTATCCAAAAAATCTGCCCCCTATTCTAAATGGACAAAAAGCAGTGAAGTGGCCTATTATACACGCCCCTACCAGACAGTCAGGGGCACTACTTGTACAAGTAATTTTTATTTACTTGAAGAAGTAATTATAGTATACTTATATAAGTGAATTTGTAGGATACTTATACAAGTGTATTTTATTTACTTGTATAAGTAAATTATTTTTTGGCCTAGTTATGTCCCTTAGACCTTCAGATTTTTTTACTTATACAAGTAAAAAAGTCATCCTATCGTCTTTTCTTGAATTTTTAGAACTTCTTTGCTCTAACAGAATTTTGAATCGTCTGTCCTTTGCAGATGTCTTTACTATTCATTTAAGAGTAATTTCATGGACAATGAAAATCTCATTTGTCTGTTATCTTTAGAACACTGCTCATTTACAAGCCCCCAAGGAGCAATTTTTGAAGGCTTTGCGCAAATAGTTAAGATCTTTGCTCAATCAGTTTCTTTGTTGAATTAATGAGATGAAACATTGAACTCTTATCAAAAATTATGAGCTAACCTGAGAAAAATTGCTAAAGGCATGATTTTACATCTCAAAACTTGAGAATTTTTGTGGGATTGTAAAAAAAATTTACTTATACAAGTAAATTTTTTAGAAAATTAAGGGGAGATTATTCAAACAATATAATTAACTTGTATAAGTACATTTTATTTACTTCTTCAAGTAAATAAAGATTACTTGTACAAGTAGTACCCCTGACTGCCAGAAGTTTGCCATTTTCTATATACAATATTTGTTTGTAAAATAAACAGACATGTTATATTTTTAGTTAATTTTGTTGCATTTTTAGCCGTAGTGGATACTTCTAGAATGGAAATTCAGATGACAGAAGTCTGTGAATTTAATTATTGAAATTCACATTCCACAAAATAGGATCTTTCAAAAATTATTCTACATGAAAACTAGGGTCGGTCGGGTAACTGGAACCACACATATATATTTATTTGGCCTAAGGCTAAGACTAAGTACTTTTTCCCTCAATTTTTGCTGTTTCCACTGAAATATAAAATAAATTCATTGAATTAACGTTAATTTGTGTAAAATTTCCACTGCAAGGACCTCCATGGGAAGGTCGCCTATCCAGATAAATGCCTGTGGCAATCTATGGATAGTCGACCTTCCCATGTGCATGGATAGAAACAAGTGACTGCGGCAAGGTCCAAGTTGCCACTCCAAGGACATCTGACAAAAGGACTGATTCTTGTAAACAGCTTACGGAACTGGCATAATTAGATAAATATTCATGGCTCACCTCAATAAGAATATATTTATACAAATAATGAACAAATGGTACGGTGATCAATGCGTTCAAAATAGTATATACTGCGTTTTGTCATTGCGTTCTGCTACACAGCCGGATGTTTATTCAAGGGACGTAACCACCTTGCAGTGCAATCAAGTACTTTCTGCCCCGTGTATTTAGCAACAAGTAATAGCTTTTCTAAAAAGCTTGCCGTATTTTAGCTGCTTATACATGTATTGAGATCGGTGGTTTGTGGGTATAGCCCGGGGGTATAGGTTTTTTTTATTGGAATCTTGCACTCCAAGCATTAGAATATAATAGTGTCTTTTTTCTCCTGGTTTTTGATTTTAGTTGTAGTATTGGTGAATCAGAGTTATCATTGAAGGAGGCTTGATAGTCACATATGATAATATATATATATGGTTTGTAATAGCTAGAGTAACGATATAACCACTTTTTTGTTTGTTTTGTGGAATATGATTGTTTACTCTTTATGACAATGCAAGTAGTTTTAACATGCATACTGTGTCTTGACAGTTATATAATAGTTAGCAAGGTTAATATGAGGAAGGCGCTACCTTGAATGCCAGCTTACCAAAACTATGTCCTACATATTGATTGATTGTTGGTTTGCTTAACGCCCAGTGGCAAATATTTCATGCATGTTCAGGACGAATGTCCTACATATAGTTTTTGTCTAAAATAAAATAATAAGTTTAGATGGAGAATGTTTAGGGAAAGATCATTGAACTTCAAAAGGCAGAAGGGGGTATGGTACTTTTGTTTTTGCTTTGGTGCGTCGCAGGAAGGCGTCAAAGCAAAAATTTAAAATAGCCGTCCTGGATGTCATAATTATTTGGACTAGTATTTACTTTAAATATTGATGACAAAAAATACTCTGTTCAAGCAGAGGATAAAAAAAAATATTCTGAATCCAGATTTTCCCCATACCTAATAGTGTTATATTTTGACTAAATAATTTTGATTGATAGCATTGAAGTGCTTCACGTGTAAAAAATTTGACTCAAACAAAAAACCATACCTCCCCCCTTTGAAGCTAAATTGTTGCTCCCTTATTGTTTTCTGCTGAAAATGAATTTATTGGTGATTTATATAAATGACAATGCTTACATTCATTATCTTGTGCATTTTCATATCCATTTTTCTTTCTTTGCAAATTTTACAAAATTTAAAACAATAAGACAGTGTAAGACATTTGTTTTATTTCAAAACTATGAATACTGTTATACAATCCATAACTTTATTAAATTAATTTTTTGTTGATTTTCATGAAAAGGTGGAGGATTTGGAATATCTTTTTCATCAATATCTAAAAGTTGTAGCGTTTTTTTTTATTTAGTATTGCAAACAACGCTTTCTGTTTGTTGAATTATTTTTACTTTCTAAATTAGCTGTTTGTTCATATTGTATTCCAAGTTTCCTGCACCTCATATATATGTGATCAGCAATAGGATCATTCTGATTGTTAAAAGAAGAGTTTGAATTTACAGTGAGCCTGTTTAGAATAATGTTTTGATCAGGTTTTTCATTTTCATCTAAGCATATAAGGAACCATAAGTAGGATTGTTAAGTTGATAATCTAAAGATTTTAATTGCTAATTTCTAGGATGTTATTTAAAATTTGAGGGGAGAACACTGCTCAGCAGTATAAATATATTCCTGATCATCTTCTTTTTGTGGGTTTCTACATCAATTTCATGTACTAATTCAGAGTCAGTTTTATGTCATTTCATGCATAATTTGTTTTATTAGCTTACTTTTCAAGTTTTTATACGATGGCAAAATAAAATTTAGAATCGAAATGGGGAATATGTCAAAAACTTGCTTTCGAGTAATGCTATCATGTCGCTGTTGCTGTTCGAAGACACATTTGGTTTCCGGACAATAACTTTAGTTTAAGTAAATGGATCTCTATGACAATGTATGAAACTGTACCAGAAGGTTCAATACACAAAAGGAATGTTAGAATTGATTTTGGGGGTTATGGTACCAACAGTTTAGGAGTCAGTGGTCAAAAACAACATTTTTGGGTTGTTTTTTTCCCATAATTTTTGGGTTTTTTCTCCAAAAATTTACCATTTTTACATTGACTTTTTCTCATTTATATATAAATGCAACAAACTCTGATATGGTAGGTGATACACACGAAACAGTGTGTGTAAATTATTTTATCGGTAATTTGTGCATTTTTCCTTTGATGTGTACTCCTTGTCCTTGATAATGTCGACCTCATTATCAGTGGACTTGTCATGATAAAGAAAATATATTGTATGGAAAGCCTCAGCTGTCATATATTAGATATTTACAAAACGTTATGCTGAAGCTTAAAATGTAAAGTTAAGACAGCGTGATGTTGAATTGAGTCATCAAAATGCTAACTCTAAATTACAATATGCTAGGTTGAATTTGCACAATGTTGACTTGCAATGACAAGTGCTTTAGTCGTGATAGTATAATGATAAGTCACGATGTTGTGATGATATGCCAAACACACGTAACGTTGGGTTTAAAGTACATCATGTGAAGTTGACGTTGCATGATGTTAGCTTGCAGATGGATACTGCTCAGTCATACAATTCGATAGCTATGATAACAAATGGTGATGACACTGATGTTTTCGTAGATTTACTTTTCCCCAGGAATGCTTCATCTGTTGATCAAGTATATTCTCACTGTGAACGATTTGTGTATATTTAAATATATTAACCTATGTTGAAAGACGTGTATAATGTCAAATCATAAGAATACAAATTGTTTTGTCTCAAAAAAAACTTTTGTAAGATTTCTGCAGTTATTTTTGTTGAATACATACATATACATAGGGTGAAAATTAGGTACTTGGTGCAATTTGGGTACTGTGACGTTATAGCCATAATTGTTTATTGCTTTAATAGGTTGAAATGTGCACCTGATAAAAGTATTCGGTAGAGTGAAAATGTTTTGATCAGGTTTAAACTGACGCATAAAATATACAGGTGACTGCGGGAGGCAAATATTTATATTGCCTCCAAATAATGTGTCTGCAGCTTGAATTTCAAAAGATGTATGTAGCCCACATACTTCCAAGTAACATGCTCTATACCTATCAAAAGTCATGGTATTATCATGGGTTATCATAACTCCATCGTAATTCCCATAAAATCCAATTTTGGACAATATGGGAGCATACAATGTATACCTAAATGTATCACTCAGACTCAAGTCTCCTTTTACTATGATTAAACTTAGAGAGTGAAAAAAAAACAGTCTCCATCTCCTGGGACTGTTTAAGGTAGATATGTGTCATAATTAATGACAAGATTTGTTGAGAGTTTGTCAAAGGAAGTACAGTGACAGTCTACAAAATTAGAAGATTGTGAATTTGAAAAAAAAAGAAAATGTACAACAATGGATCGACGTGGGACGGATCGACTTGGGACGGATCGACTCGGGGCCGGATCGACTTGGGGCCGGATCGGTTTGGGGCCGGAACGACCTGATACCTACAACACTACCTCTTTGAATGTGATCTGTATTCAGATGCTAGATACAAATTATTTCATCAAATATACTTCATAACAGGACATATTCCAACCGATTTAGACAATTTATTAACAATCAATTTGCCAAATGCAGAAAATATCACTCAACTATTATCGGAGTACATAGAGGAAACAAACCGTTTTAGTGGATAATTTAATACAAATTTTTTTTAAATTTTTCATGTCATTTCAATTATCTGATTAACCAATTTTTTTCTTTCTTTTTTTTTTTTTTAAGAACATTTTTTCTTTAATATTTTTTAAAAAAGCTACAATATCTAAGTACAAAGGAGAAACTACATTAGTGATTAAAATTTTGAAGAGAGGATAATTTACAAGAGAGATTACCCTGTCATCACGACAAAGATTGAAGATTGAAGAATTTGAATATATATGTTTTTTAAACTTTTGTTAAGTTTTGAACTTCACCTGCATTTGTCTGTTAGCTAGGAATAACAGTGACCACATACCACAGTATGCATCGAATTGGAATAAAGAACGATAACTCTCTCTACATGAGCAATCTAAAAAGTTTCGTCACTCTCGTTAAATCTCGTACGATTTTTTTTTTTAATTTTCGAAGTAGATCAAGTCAAGTTATCTAACTCTTAAAAATATTTGTTTTCTTTTTTTTCATTATATTTATTAAATAAACATTGTATTCTTGCTTGGCTCCAAATATAAGGTCAATTCTTCATATAATGAAAACGAAATTAGCATTGGAATATCCGTAAGGACAATTTCAGGACATTAGTTTAACCCTTATATTTTTAATGGCTGCCAGATTCTCGTTTAATCGCGATTTTGAAAAACGGGACAAAACGGAATAAATTCGATGTTAAATGTGACATAAATTCTTATTTGTTTACAAAAACAAGAATTTAGAAATTTTAGTAACTTGTGCAGTTTATTTAAATTTTATTGTACCACGGAAATAACCGAAGTTTGGACAACAACATCTTACGCCATGTTTCGTCGTCTGCTTCATCTTTCCATTATCGGTGACAAATCTCCTAAATTACCACAGGTACTTCATTTAAAAGTCACAATATCATAATTAATGATAACATTTGAGTGTAAAAGTTCCGTCCAGCCATGGGAACACAGAAAAACCCTCTGCAAGCAATAAATTTTGGGAGAAACGTAGCCGGATGCGGAGGTGAAGGTAGTAAAATCTGCTACAGAATTTCCCATATCAAGTTACAGTGATAATGAAGTTGGTTATACTGTGGAATGTGGTCACTGTTATTCCTAGCTAACAGACAAATGCAGGTGTAATTCAAAACTTAACAAAAGTTTAAAAAAAAATATATATATATTCAAATTCACTGGGCAATCTTCTAATTTTGTAGACTGTCACTGTACTTCCTTTGACAAACTCTCAACAACTCTTGTCATTAATTATGACACATATCTACCTTAAACAGTCCCAGGAGATGAAGACTGTTTTTTTTTCACTCTCTAATTTAAAGTTTAATCATAGTAAAAGGAGACTTGAGTCTGAGTGATAGGTATAGAGCATGTTACTTGGAAGTATGTGGGCTACATACATCATTTGAAATTAAAGCTGCAGACACATTATTTA